GGCCGATAACTTGTAACTTTCCATTTAAAAACTATCAGGTGTAATATACATCTATGTCTTGCGTGTCCGATAGTGATATACTAGCCATTACTAAACTCATACGCTTGTTTATAAATAACATTTCTGGTGTAAAGAATGATATGTATGAAAATCTAAATAATTCCAAAAAAAGATTTGATAAAATAAAAATCTATTTACATATTTTCCAAGGGTACATTGGGGAAAATGTAAGTATATACTCGTTGTCAATAATTATGGACATTTTGAAACATACAAATATTGATTTAACAAAAATGTACGCACTCGTCGATCATTGGTTTATACGACTAGATAGAAGGTTACGGAACTATAGATAGTCGCAATTTAGAATATATACATGTATATTGAATACAAGAGAGAAACAATCAGAGCCAATCTGATTTAAATACAGGTCGATATCTAACTTGCTTTGGTTCATCGAAGTTATGGACATAGTAAAATCACAGATTTATATTTCAATTAGATTGTTCTCGAACAGTTTAAGAAATTCGTCATCATCACAATTGTTGGGTATAATGTATAATAATGTGAACATGGTTCTAAAAGTACCTTATGTCAATTTTCCTGTTCCGACATGCATGTAATATATGCCACTGGACGTACACTAATGATCCCAAAAAAAGCCTATTTATAGACTGATAGTAGTTGAATTAACGTCTGATCAGCTAGAGGGTTGGTTAATTTATATAGTTAGCTTGTGGGGGAATAAACCATTCCCAATATTGCACTTTTGCATAAAATATTAAATGAGAGTAATAAAACAATTGCTGATCTGTTATCTATAATAAAAAATAATGGCAGACATCAAGTATAATGCAAACTGGGTCAGATACCAATAAGTAAATTATATGCTAGTTTAATAATCCAGAGTTCTCTTAATATACTACAAAATTTACCCAAAAGAACTTACTTTAACTAAATCTAACATAAACAGCAGTAGTTGTGCTTTTCTAGATTTAGACATTTCAATCTCTAAAGGAAAACTCCATACTAAAATTACGACAAAAGAGACGACTTTTCATTCCCTATTGTTAATTTTCCTTTTTTAGACGACGATGTTCCTTTGGCTCCATCATACAGTGTTTATATATCCCAACTCGTTCGTTATGCCCGTGAGTGTAGTGATGTCATAGATTTTAACGAACGTAATCAATGCATCACTGGTAAATTATTAAGTCAGGGATTTCGTTATCATAAATTACGTAAAACTTTTACTAAATTCTTTCATAGATACAAAGATTTGATTAGTAAATTTGGCTGTACCTGTAGAAAACTGATTAAAAACGGTATTTCACATCCTCAATTTTACGGTAATATTGTACTTAAAGCGCGGATATCACTATGTGATTCGTGTAAACTCATCGAACCTTTAAACAAACTAATTAGTAAAGGTTATCTTACCAATCTTGTAATTAGATCTTTGAATATAGTTTACATTGGCACTACTATCGATTTTGTCATCAGCAAATTAAAACATAACTAAATTTGTATTCTATTCAAACGGGATGTATAAAGACACACCCACGTTGATTTTGATCTATAAAGAGGTTAACTCCTAAAAATCCTACTGCCTGTCGATACATGTATGTTCTGCAATGCAAAAGTCATGTCTTCTTTGACTGTCCATGACGTTAAAATACTAAATCCCTGGAATGTGTTTTAGTTGATTTTAGTCTCTGATGCATGATTTTTTATTATTAATTTTTTTTGGCTTTAAACTAGCTGTCAGTAACTGCGAGTACTCTCAAATCGTACTTTCTTGTTTATTTGACCTGTTGATACTAATTGTAATGCTTTTCTGTTATTTAATGTTTACTTATTCAGGGTTATATATGGTCTATCTACCAGCTTTGATAAGTGTTTGGTATTACTATAAATTTTCACTTCTTCGTACTATGAAAATCAAAATTATTTATTTTGTAAAAATATTTCCTTTCTCCATTTGAACTGTACACGTATACCTAACAACAAAATTATTTTCATTTACCTGTGTTTAAAGTAATTGCAAATGGCTGATATTTTTGTTCAAGCATATTGTTTTTCTTAAATTGCTTAACATTTCACAGCGGTATAACTTGTTACTTTAATTATTCTTCCTTTAGTTTTTTTTATTTTGTATTTACATTGTATCATAGATCAAATTTATTTGTTCAGTGTATGTTCACTAGTGTGAATATGCCATTTCAATTGATATTTTAAAGTGTGTCTTTCTATGCTGTGATGGTACACTATTATTTCAGATAAGGGTGAAGGTTTGGTACCATTAAAACGTTTAAACCCGCTTCAATTGTTTGCACCTGTCCTAAGTCGGGAATCTGATGTTCATTAGTTGTCGTTTGTTGATGTGTTTCATAAGTGTTTCTCGTTTCTCGTTTTTTATATAGATTAGACCGTTGGTTTTCCCGTTTGGATGGTTTTACACTAGTAATTTTTGGGCCCTGTATAGCTTGCTGTTCGGTGTAAGCCAAGGCTCCGTGTTGAAGACCGTACTTTGACCTATAATGATTTACTTTTATAAATTTTGACTTGGATGGAGAGTTGTCTCATTGGCACTCATACCACATCTTCTTATATCTAATAAGAGAAAATATAAATACGAAAAGTCACATGTCTGGTAGAAAAATTCTCACCAACTATAGGATCCCACGTACAATTGTCAAGTCTATCGAAAGTTACAAAATAAGAACGTTGTTTTTATGAATTTACAAGAAGAATTCTGTTCTTGGACGTAGTTTTCTTTTTTTTTTTTAGTTCAGTGATTCAAATTGAGAAAAAAAATCTAGTCAGAATTTAAATTGTTCCGGCAATCCCCCAGCTAAGACTCCTCTAAAATCATGAATGGTAATGCTTCACAATCATCAGAATTTTCTTTGCATTGGTACATTCTGTCTCGGTAGTGATTAACCTTGACATTTCCGGGTATAACAGAGCTACTTGTATATTACCTTATGTGGTTAGGTGACGTCCCATGTGGTCTTATGTATACAGGTTCACATTTATAATGGTTTCTGATATAACAAGGTTTTATGACATTCACACTTCTGCATGTTTTGTATACCAAATTCTTATCTTATTTTCAGACCGAATGAGGATGTGAATACTTTCTAGGAAAAATATTGAGTATCTAATTAATTTCGGGATTTTTTCTTTCTTGGTATTTAATCGCATAAATTTAAAGAATATACTGCTTTTCCGCTTTAGAAGTATTCTTGTCAGTTTAGACAGACATATGTCATGTCTTTAGTATAGAGTGGGTTTATGAATAAATGATAAGTCTTGCAAAGGTATAAGATATAAAGCACATTGAAAATTTATTCCGCCAGTCTGTCTCCATCCAAAAAAGGGAAGTTGACGTAAGATTGATTCCGTTAATCTTTTTAAAAAATCGTTGATCAAATAGTTAAAGTCTTTATACGTTGTAGGATTTAAAATATTTTAATAAGGGCATTCCCGATTAGGCAAATGTAAATCGCTTTGGACGGACCAAACTATATTAATGTAACTGATGATTTTCTCTGCACATTTAAAAATTCAAGGTTACCGATGACAATTTAGAATAGTACAGTTTTTGGTTTATACGTGGGCCATTCTTATTCATAAAATTATTTGATTGAAAGTAATTCAGAATTTCGATGTTACAACAAAATACTCACCTATTTATTTAAAAACTGAGCTAACGCAAAATATAAAAAAAATATATAACGGCGATTCAGGTATTTTGCCACCATATTCCTCCCCAAATAATTTTTTTTTTCTGTCTCTAACTCGCACCTCAATTATCTTTTTATTTTATGTTTTTTTCAGACCTGAAACGGTGAACCCTTGAGGCCAAACAACACTCTAGTGAAGATCAAAAGATTAAAATTACGTAATGCTAATCTTTTAATTATCGTGAATTTAATCACGCCTTTACCAGGTAGTGTCAGAGTATAATACACATTGTATTTTCACAGTACTAGCGGGAAATGTTTGCTAGACAGAGGCAAGGATCTTTATAGTAAGACAAATCCTTGACTGAAGTAAAAGGTGAGAATACAAACATGCATTTTTATTACACTATCAGTTATATATGTTTGTTCAACATGTACGTCGGAAAAAAAATTCATAAAAATATTCTATTGTGTGATTTACTTATTACTATAATCATATCAGAAATCCCTAAAATATAAATCATACATTTTGATTTAAAAAGTTGCACGGCTGATCACTTTACTCACTTAATTATTAGTTGGTTAATAGATACGCAAAATAGTCGTCGATGCGCTTTAAATCGCGTTATTAGATGATTAACGAATAAGACTTAATATGAGATTAAATCCACTTCCGGCATGCAATTAGACTTAAACTACGTCACAGTAGTCAGGAAGTTCGAATAAATAAAATTAATAATTCCCAATTTTCTTCTTTATTAGTGTTCATATCCAGATAAAACTTGGTGGTATTATGAACATAATAAGATGATAAATGTAATTGGTAAAAAATATCATAAAACTGGAGCAAGAAAGTTTTGTTGTGCATATTTTTGAATTCTGAACATATCTGTTAGCGAGCTTACACGAAAAAGTCGATTTCTGCCCTTCAGTAAAAAAAACTCAATTGATTTGAGAAATTTATCCTATCAACACACAAAGATTGAACATGGTAAAATTAATTAGCGTACACATTATTTTGAGATCACCCCTATAGCTTGCCTGTATGATTTGTAGTCGTCCTCGTACTCGGACCTGGACTTCGCTCTCACCACATATGGAATTTACTGACCCCATATATATGCTATTAGGACACTAGCACACTATGTTACTTATATTACATTTCCATGTGAATTGCATTTCACGATCTATTACATTATGCTGTCCCTTAACCTTTTAAAGCTCAGATCTTCAAATGTTTGGCATTTCTGGATCTCCAAAATTATGTTGTCACTTTCCTTTGACCCATAACCTTATTATTCTGATACTGACCTATTACATTTCCATGTGTATGTTACTTCTGGATCTGTAATATTGTGTTGTTTGGCTGCGTCGTCCAAGAAATCAAACAAATATTTTATCATAGGAATCTTATTTGGACTAGCAGTCAGAACATTTTTAATAAAATCATCAATATACTGTTTCAGAGTACTCTGAAAAAAACATACAGAAATTGGCTTATTTTTTTAATTGCAGTAAACAAATGTTTCTCACACATAATGTTTATTTCACTGTAAAAACAATATACCCAAATAACCAAGACCTTGACTTGCTTGCTGGTTTTTAGTTATCATTTTAAAACAAATTTCTGAAACATAAGTATATATAAATTGCTATACTGCTTTGATTTTGTTACAAGTCATTATAACCATGTAGGTTAGAAGGGTAAAATAGAAACTGAAAATGTCTAAAAATAAATATAGTTTAAATACCACAATAATGTTAAATGTGTTCCCTATTTGAATTTCTACTCATGAAAAAACTTGCTGTCAAGCTCGACTAAACAAATGGTAAAAGAAACAGGAGTGTGCACAGTTTATAGTTGTTATTCTTATGTAAATAAAATGCCTGCACACAAGAAATACTGATTTTGTTTCTTTGCTTGCATATCGGAAATATTTTTCTCTCTCTGTCAGATACAGTAAAAACAAATCTCTTTCTATATCTACTAGTATTGCATTTTTACGCAGTCTCATTGGTTTTCCTCTTTACTCGATGAAAACATGACAAAGATTTGATTGGCTTATGACAACTTACCTTTGTAGCTAACAATCTAGTAAGATCTATCTCTGAACTAAGGCATTTGATCTGTGCATCATCATGTTGTTTAACCTGTGATTATTAATAGAAAAAAGATGACAATGTACCGATTTTAAAAAATAACAACAATTGCATAATCGATTTTTGTTCAATTAATAATTTATATTTACAAAACATTAAAATGATGGAGATATAAAGTATGTGCGCCTTTTGTTGTTACCGATAGTATGATAGAAAAAGCCCTAAGGGGTTACAAAATGTCAACAATAGTGAAAAGGTTTGATGTGAGCATCTTTAACAAAAATACACAGACCAAAACGAGATTATTTTAAAAACCTTTCTATTTAACTTGTAAGATAAATATGTATATTAACTTTTGAAATTTATACAAAAATATCCATCAAGTTAAACAACAGCGTAATGTCAGTTGTCATGATAATTTACAGCACAAACCATTAACATTGTATACAATTTTCTCATCAGTGATCAGGTGTTTTTGTTTCAAGAGCTTTCTGAAATAGTTTTGGTTGTTAAAAGAAGTTGGTTCACAAAGCTAAAATTGGCCCTGAGATTGGAAGTTCTTTTTTTAAATCATGCCACAGTACTTAAAATTTCACATATAATTAGTTGTTATATTACTATTTATACAAAAGAAATTTTGTTTGGCTCCTCAAATTATAACTTTTGATATAATGACACCTAATTAGGCATAATTTGTGTTGAATCGTTAGTTTTGGTAAAAAAAAAAATCCATAATTTATCACTGTTTACAGCATTATTTACTTTGGCCGTCATCCCCGATCCAGATTGTTTTTGTGTCTAAGTATTCAATATTAACCTTAGCACTTGTTGGATCATAGATTGCGGCCAAGGTGCTCCTAAAGCTTTTAGGTCTGAAAAATGCAACAAATCATCGTATTTCGACAAGATCTCTAAAAACTGAGCCGTTACTTTCATGAAGAGATTTATTTTACTGAGGATTTAGGCATTTGAAAAGGATCCGTTTTAAAAAAAAAATTGTGGACCTTTTTGATATATTAATATAAAGTTGATAAACCTGAAATTCAAGGCCATATTTTGTTAAAAGTGAACCTTGTCCTTTAATTACTCAAACTCGAAGTCTAACATAATTACCATATCAAGTTGTTTCACATCAGCATTTTTTACTTCAACAAAACATTATATTAAAAAAAAGTATATGTAACAAACTAAAGGTAATAAGAATTTGCTAACCATAACATAATGTGTCGTCAATTCTTTTTAAGATTTAATATTGCTCGTGTAAGGTCAAGGAACAGTAAATTGGCAAATGAATTTTTAAAGTTATGGTGTAATTATTCTTGAAATAACTTCTCTTATGTGTGCCACATCATTCTCTCAATTTTAGGCCAGTTTTTATACTAAAATTTTAATAAGACGCATACCACCTATTATTGGTCCTCATTCCTATTTACGATAATTTTTTCACTTCAAAACATTTTATGGAACTGGATCTATATACCTGTATTTATACATCAGACCGTACTGCACTGGTTACCGGAATTTTGGATACACCGAACCAGGCACTTCATATTTGAGAAACAGGCTATATATGCCCTTAATTTTAGAGTTCATTCATACATTTTTCTATTATTCAAAATTATCAGTAAATTACTACAAGAATCACCAGTCCTTCACCTTTCATCTGGCACCTTAACTACTAAAATATATGCAACATAGTTTAAGATTTAACCTTATGCGTAGGAACTATTTTGCTTTAAATATGAACTACTTTCCAGTATGTTCTTTTTTACTGGGCCCGATTAGGTGGTGTTACATCTTACAAAGTCTATCCAAATTATTTTTGCAAAGGATTTCGCTCAAGCCGGTGCTAGGGGCCGTCTTAAACTTGCAGTGAGGTGAAAGTTTGTTTGCTCCGTGATGGAGGCCTCACCGTGACTTTGAGATGAAGAACAGCAATAAAAGCGCTGTTCTTTTGCTTTTTGTGTGTGTTTTTTTTTTGCTGTGCATGTACTGATTTTGTGTCATGGATGGATACCCCATATCCTTTGTTTTTCTATTATGTCACAAATTTTAGAATTAAAGCTTTTATGGGATATGATCAAGATGATAGTCTGCGGATCTGCAATCTCATTTTCGTCATTTTAGAAGAAGGCAGGAAATAAAAAAGAAAAAGAATTACTATATAAGGTATCATTATTAGATAAAAAAAAACTCTTAGAGAATAACTTGCCATCAGTACACCAAGAAAGGGAAGGGGTGGAACTAGAACTAAAAATATTCAGGGAAAAAAAGATCAAAGGTATAATTACCAGAGCTAAGGCAAGATGGCAAGTAGAGGGAGAAAAAGGAAGTAACTATTTTTGTAATTTGGAAAAGAAACATTACACACACAAAATATTCTCAAACTTATTCTGGAGGACGAATCTGAAATAACAGATCCAAGTATTATTAGAAATGAAAAAAAGCAATTTTTTTTAAAAATATATACTAGTTCTAATCCATTGTTACTTGAAACTCACAGGGACACGTTTCTTCAGCATGACAATCCTTTTATTACAAAACCTAATTAGGAAGAGATGGTTAACTGTTACTGTGAGGGACCTTTAACAATGCAGGAGTGTCTGTCTTTTCTTAAACATAAGAAGAATTTCAAATCACCTGGTATAGACGGATTTACTGTTGAGTTATATATAAAAATATTGAATGATATTAAGATACCACTGGTAAGATGTTTAAATGAGGCTTTAGAATATTGAAAGTTCTCTATCACTCAAATAAAGGCAACAGTAGTATACCGCTGTTTAGACAGGGACGCATTTCTTGTATACCAAAGGAGGGTAAGTCAAAATTTTATCTAAAGAAATGGCAACCTATCACACTGTTGTGTGTAGACTATAAGATAGCTACAGCAAGTCTAGCAAATAGATTAAAAAAGGTGCTGGTAAATATAATAAGCCAAACACAAAAAGGTTTTCTTAAAGGTAAGTATATAGGCGAATGTAATAGATGTATTTATGATCTAATAGAAAAGATGGATGAACATAACATTCCGTGACTTTTACATTAAGTCGATTTTAAAATAGCTTTCGACACGGCCGAATGGTCTTTTATATTAGAGGCTTTGCAGTTTTATGGCTTTGACCATACATTTATAAGTTGGATAAGGGCATGCTACTGTGATGCCTCTAGTACAGTGTTAATAACGGATATATTTCAGAATTGTTTTCATTGAAAAAGGGGGGTTCGTATATTTATTTTAGTGTTTAAATTACTCAGTGCAGCTATTAGAATGATCCTGATGTTGCTGGTGTAACAAATAATGACTCTGAATTTTTGTTGAGTCAATACTTATGTGATGATGATTCTACTTTAGTCCTGGATGGTGACCAAAAGTCCCTAAATCAATGTTTACATTTGTTTGATAAATTTTCAGAATGTGCTTGACTTAGATGTTATGTTGAGAAAACTAAAGCCATATGGATTGGGTAGTATGGAAAAACTTTTGCCAGAAAAAATTTGTTTGGAACTATTCTTGGAGGTTCAAACTATTAGGTATATGATTTGAGCCTGCTAAAGTGGATAAGACTCTATGTAATTTTACAGCCAAGATAAACAGTATCAAGTCTTTGCTAAATACTTGGGCTTATAGAGAACTAACATATATTAGAAGGGTTGTGGTTATTAAAACTTTAGCACTTCCAATATTGGTTCAAGTTCTGACTGTCCTCCTAACCCCACAGAAGGTGTTCTGAAGGAGATTAAGAATATATTTTTAAATTTTCAATTGAAGGAAAACCAGATTTAAAGGAGCAGTGGTAATGTCCGAACATTATGATGTCGGTCTTAAGATGCATACTATTTAATATTTTTGCTGTAGTGTAAAAATGTCTTGGCTGTATAAATTATTAGATCCACAAAATTACTCCCCTTGGAAAGTTTTGCTGCTAAGTTATATACAAAACTTTGGGGATGACAAAATTTTACACTTAAGTCAAGATCGATTGCTTCATTTAGCTAAAAAAGTCAATCCCTTTTGCAATGATACCCTGGTAAATTTTTTTGCAAAAGTTGCAAAATAAGTTTAAAGTTGAAAACAATACTGATGTTCTGGCCCAGTCCATATGGCTGAACCCAAACATCAAAATAGGTGGCAAGATGATTTCGAAGTTCAAATATATTGAAAATGGTATATTCTTTATTAATGATCTGGTGTCAGATAATAATACATTATTCTCATATGGAGAATTAAAAAAAAAAAATATAATATCAATACTAATTTTGTAGAGTTTTATGGTATTATAAGTGCAATTCCAAATAGATGGAAAAGTATGATAAAAGGTAGTTCTTAATTGGATAACATTGAAAATAAATTGGTAGATAAAGTTAGAAAGGAACCAAAATCTTTTAAATTTCTCTATAAATTATTTTTGGAAGATAATGAAGTGTGAGCTTTATCTTCCCGTAATAAATTGGAAATAGATTTAAATCTGCAGATTGAAGATTGGAATACTATTTACTCCGTGCCTTTTACTATATCCAGAAATTCTTTTTTTACAAAATTTTCTATCATGATTGTTCATAGAATTCTACCATGTAATTCATTTTTATTGAAATGTAAATTAAAAGAAACTGAACTATGTACATTTTGTTCAGAAATCAGAGAAAAAAATGTTCACATTTTTTTGGGAATGTAATGGTATATAAAATTTCTGGATATTCATTATAGACTGGATTAGAAATTATGACATTATCTTGCCTTTCAACGCAAAAGAAGTAATTTTAGGTGTGTCTGTGGATTTTGTCATCAGTAAAACAGTTAATAATATTGTGTTGTTATTTAAATACTATATATACAAATGTAGTTGTAAGAACATATTGCCCGAAAAATATGGTGGGATACAATATTTAAAATATTCTATTTATATAGAAAAATACTCTGTATGTTTCTTAACCCCTGCGCAAAAAGTAAAAATGGATCAGAAATAGCAATTGTTAGAAGCAGCTTTTAATTAACAAAATCAATTTTAATGTTTATATCTTATTATATCATTATGACTTGATCGATCTTACAAGTGTTACTTAATTTCTTATGCTTTTTTTCTAATACTGTAGTATCTAATATTACATGTTTCATCATGAAAAAAAAAATTACAAAAAAAAAAAAAAATTAGTAAAATTTTGCATTCAAGTTTAACTCTGAAAATAGAACAAAAAATAATTCATTTATCTCTTTTAATGTCTGAAATATTACTGATTAAATTTTTTCGAAAAAGGTGAAAATTTGTAAGGAAATTACATAAAATAAGCTTGAATTTTCCTTTAAATCATCAAATCTCCAATTGCAAGTACATAGATTTTTCTTAGAAACTATATGCTGTTAATGCATAAATTTCCGTTTAAATGATGTAAAATAATCAAAGGGTCGTCAACTTCCTTTTTGGTGTATTAACCAATCAGTTATCTAGTTGGTAGTGAAAAATTTCTAAAAAATCGACGTTTTATAATCAGCAACGTTACGCTTTTTTCGACGTTTTGTGGTATTCTTTCACTTAGAACACTTCTTTGAATGATGTATACCGTAAGTACGATGTAATTCGATTTTCCTATCATTATTTTACATCATTAAAACGGAAATTCATGTACCAACAGCATATACTTCGTAAAGAAAAATCTCGGTACCTGAAACAGGAGATTTAATGATTTTGAGACAAATTTAAGAATTTTTTTTTTAGGAATTCATGTACTTTCTATACAAATATTCTCCCATTTTGAAAGAATTCAGTCAGTATATGTTAGGAAACTCGATCTGTCGGAAGGACACAAATAACCTGCTCGCAAGAAAAGCTTGAAGCCAAAGTACGAAGCCCGTAATTTCGGCATAATTCAGCGGAGCAGAACTAAACGTAAACTCGATCTGTAACACATATTAGTAGACTCACATACAAAAAGTCAGCTCAATACGTGAAGGCGTTTAGAAAAAGGTCTGCATAACTGTTCGTTGCGGAATGACGGAATCACAGAATGGCGGTGCCATAATAAAAATAATAAATTTATATTTTTTTTCGATTTTCAGTTAAAGTTCAACAAACTAAGATGTATGCAACATTTTACAAAAATCTGTGACATAGCCAATTTACTGTAACTTGACCTTAATTTGACAGTATCGAATGAAATTTGCAAACATTGACATATCTGAATATTTTTTTTCTTTGTTAATGCAATAATTCAAAACACTATCTTCATCTTAAAATAGAATTCAGAAACATATTACATTTACTGACTTATTCAAGATTCCAAATATGAATTTTTGACATGGGAGCTCACCAAAGGGAAATAGTTTTCATTCAAGGGCGTATAATTCAAACTGGTTATTGCTGAATATCAACATAATTGTACATAGTTTTGTAATATAATTAGAAAATAAGAATGGTACCTTTTTTTTGTCTGTTATTTACTGAAACAAACTTTATAAATATACAATATATGTACATCGTTGGAAAATATAAAATTCATGTGTACGAGCTTTAATAACAGGACGAAAGCGAGGCTTGCCGAGCTTTTCGTTTGCTTCGGAGCGAGTACAAAATCATTTTATATCTGCAGCAAGGTACATATATTGTTTTTATTCTGTAATTTACACCCAGCACTTGAAGCTTCAGTTTAAAGTCAAATCATTATCTGTGATTTTTCAGAGAAATCGACATAATTTAAACATTGACTGCGAAGAGCACCCTAGAATAAACTATGACGGAAAAAAAAATCCACATAACCGCTTGCTCAAAAAGGAAGCAGGAGAAGTAATTTGTACAAGTACAAATAAAGTAAAAATTTATTTGTGTACCTGTTATTTGTAAAATGGTTGGCTGATTGCAGGATAAAAAAAGATGTCTGTCAAAAAGTAATTATTTCTAGAGACAAGCTTTTGTTTTGATAGCCAAAAATTGATTCTACTTTACATAAAATTCTTATATTGAGAACCCTGTATATATTGAAAACGAGTATATAAAGCTATTTTTTCAAAATAATTTTTTAGTTAGGGCTGTTCCATTTAAACATACATGGTACAATTGGAAGGCAACTGGAGTAACCACCTATAGAAGCAATTTTAGAACTTCCATTTACTGTACAAATAAAGTAGTTGACATCGACCAATAATTACATTACCTTGGTCCTATGTATGTTTTGACGCCTTTTTAACCCCTTCAATCAGTAAAAAAATGTAAATTTCTTGTACATAAATGAATATTCTTGTACAAAGAGTTTAACTCAGATCATTTATTTAATATAAAAATAAGAAGATGAGTTATAATTGCCAATGTTTTTTTACACAAAATACTAACTTATACTGATTTTGTATATTTTCATTTTTGTACCTACCAGATGCCAGTACTTTGTACAAACTTCACTGTCAGTGCATGCGGTAGAGATTGCCTCTCGATTGTGAAGTCCGGAGGAACGAATAGATCCTGTAAATAAATATATGTTTGGAAGTATATACAGAAGTTAATACTATACCATCTATAAAATTCAAATTATGACAGCTCCAGCTACATATTCATATAAAACATTGATATAATTTCTTAATCCATCAATTCAAAGAATGTTTTTGGAATATTCAGTGTCAAATAAGGAAATTTCAAAATGTAAAATTTCATTTCTTAAATTGTTAATTTCATTGTTTTTTTTTCAGATAGAATTGTAGATTTAATCTCATCTGCCTTTAGATAATACACTTAGCCGTCATAAACAAGTAGATCTGTGTTGCTCCTTAATGATTGCTCAGCTTTCAGTTATCAGTAAACATTCAATTGAAGGGTAATAGATATGAAAATTCATCTCATGGTAAAGCCTGATAACAAATATCAAGAAGTTCTTATATGTAGTTCCCTAGAAAAATGCGACGAAAATTTCATACATGGCCATTTTGTGTTAGAATATATAAGTATGCAGTAAACAGGAAGTTGATAAACATTGAATCGGAAACCGCATCACACAATAAAGCATGTTAAAATGAAGCCTGATAAAAAATTGAGGAATCTTTTTTGTAGTTACTCAGAAAAATGCTACGCAAATTTCATTCTAAGGACAAACAAAAAGTCGGGGATAAAACAGTATACCCCCTCCCTCAGAGCCAGGGTATACAAACATATTTTTATGATTAATCAGAAACAAAGGAAGATAAGTTGATCTATCCAAATCTGAAGTTAACCTAATGTTAGTTTTTTATCAAGTCAAAAAAGTTTAAATTATTGACTTTTTATACTACCACCGTATATGAATGATATAGCTGTAAGTAAATTCAAGACAGATGAGCAGATGATGTTAGGAAGTTTTATCTTTTTGATAGATCAAATGATGAGCTAATTCTATATTAAAGAAAAACGAGTACAGCACATGTACAAAAATGTAGTTTAATATTGTTCACAAAATACAAAAGCAAAACATTACATGAAATATCAAATATTTTGTTGGAGTTGCAAATTTAAGAATAAACTTTTATAATAAAAAAGGAATTCAGTGAGAAACACTCAAAACCTACCATTTAAAAATTTATCTTATATTCTGAAACACAGTGTCTGTCCTTATAGCATACCTATCATTGATTTACCTTATGTCTGAATAAAATCTTTAAAAATTTCTGTAAAGATTACGACTTCTTCTGTTTGGTCGTATAATTAATACAAGAAGATGCCAGCGAAATCACGGTACAATTAGGTAAGTGTTGAAACAAAGAGTGTCAAGAGTGCCTGTTTTTACACATAAAAAGGGGAGGGTCCGGACGTCGGGTGCCTGTGTTTACACATACCTCGAGGCTCTGAAGAGCCTGTGTCGCTCACCTGATTCTACTTTGGTTTGGGAAATCATGTAAAAATAGATTAAAATCATCACAGATACCTTAATAATGATTGAGGCCAAATTTGGTTTAATATTGGCCCCGTAATTCAATAAAAAATCCTGGTGGCCATCTTGAACAGTAAATCGGCAACAAAGTAGCAACACTTCATCAGCACCTTATAAGGAACATTTATGTCATGTTTGGTTTCATTCCATTCAGTGCACCTCTAGAAGAAGCATCTGTATGTATTTCCCAAAGGGTCTTATGTTAAACTAAGTCCCCTGCTGGCGGCCATTTTGGATTATGATTCGGCCACAAAGTAACAACACTTAGTCAGCACCTCATTAGGAACATTCATGTCATGTTTGGTTTCATTCTATTCAGTGGTTCTCTAGAAGAAAACATTTGTATGTATTTCCCATAGGGTCCTATGTTAAACTTATTCCCCCTGCCGGCAGCCATCTTGCATGACAAATCAGCTACAAAAAACAACACTTGGTCAGCATCTCAAAAGAAACATTCATACCATGTTTGGTTTCAATCAATTAAGCGATTTTCTAAAAGAGGACATTTGAATATATTTCCCATAGGGTCCCTTGTTAAACTAAGTCCCCCGTTGGCAGCCATCTTTGTTGATGGATTTGCTAATAAGTAACAACACTTGGTCAGCACCTCATAAGGAACATTCATGCCATGTTTGGTTTCATTCCATTGAGTGGTTCTGTAAAAGAGGCGTTTGTATGTATTTCCCATAGGGTCTTATGTTAAACGAAGTCCCCGGCTGGCGACATCTTGGATGATAGTTCGGCTTCAAAGTAACAACACTTGGTCAACACCTCATAAGGAACATTCATGCCATGTTTGGTTTCATTCCATCCAGTGGTTTTCTAAAAGAAGACATTTGTATGTATTTCTAATAGGGTCCTATGTTAAACGAAGTCCCCTGCTGGCGGCCATCTTGGATGATGGATCGGCTTCAAAATAACAACACTTGGTCAGCACCTGACAAGGAACATTCATGCTATATTTGGTTTCATTCCATTTAGGTTCTCTAGAAGAAGTTCAAAATGTAAAAAGTTAACGACGACGGACGTCAAATGATGAGAAAAGCTCACTTGGCCCTATGGGCCAGATGAGCTAAAAGGGGGGAGGATCACTTCGACACGTTCAACGCCCATTTCATTTTTGGGCAGTTCTTCACCTGAGTAAAAAGGGTGGATGTCGTTTAATTTAGCAAAATAATGCACTTACAATACAATACAGGATCCTTATAAGCCTAACTTTCCTATTATCTATTTCTTTCTTCTTACTTTCACTTGGATTTCGCTGGTAGTACGTCGACTAAGCATCCGCGAAAGCATATAAGACACGGATCGATAACGGTCTCAGAATTTGGATATTTTCTCAAAAAAGGCGTTTTCTGTGGTAAGATTGTTTCAAAGACAAATTTATGAAGTACAAAACACTACATTTATACGTTATATCACAAATATTTCCGACTTTGTATGGATTCAGAGGAGTTCCGGATCAATAAAATCGGTCTTTCGCTTTAGTAGTTTAGATATGTGTATCTTTAAGAACAAAATTCAATCTGTTGCCATTTTGTACAATCTAAAATTCTTTATACTTTAATTGAAACCTAACAAATAGATATCAATGCTACAAATAAAAAAATATGAAGATGAGGAATGATTGTCAATGAGACATCTATCCACAAGAGACCAAAGGTCAATGATGCAAGCAACCATAAAGTTCTTTCGAAAATACAAACATGCCTTACCTTCAGGAGATCTTGGGAGATTTCGACACTTCTGGTATTGTGTTAGCACCACATCAGCACCATTTAGAAGTTTATAATCTTTCAGCATATTTAACTGTTTCCAACCATTTTCCTTCCACTTTGTATTATCTTCATCTTGTAATGTTTGGTTATCATCAACCCAATCTAAATATTCACATGTATCGTTTCAAATAATGTTTTGTTTTCGTTTTCCCAAACTAAAAATTTACATATATCAATTAAAATAATGTTTTGTTTTCATCTAATAAATTTCAAAATTCACATGTATCGATTAAAATAATGTTTTTTTTTTCATTTACCCAATCTAAAAATATAGATGCATCAATTAAAATAAGCATTTGTATAAATGGCATACAAATTCATTAATATATTATATACACTTATTTAATGAACTTGAATAGCTCGAATATATTTTTCTTTGTTACATTTACATTATATTGGATATAGTTCATTTAAAAAATGTTCCAAACCACATTAACTTTAGGATAAGGTTAAACAATAATATAAAGAAGGTTTAAAGGAATCACTTAAATTATTGGACAGTACACCAACCATATATGTTGTAAAATGATATCTCAAAACTGTGGAAAAATATCATTTATATATAATAAAAAAATATAATTTCAACTGATGACAAAACTAATCAAAGTGCTTGTGAACACTGAAGGGTAAAGATTGCTTTCATTTTGCAATTTTGTGAATTTTTAAATAAAACATTGAATTGTATTTTGCTAGGCAAGTTAAAAATTTGAGTTGGTGTTATCTTCCTTTGTTCATGATTGTATATTTGTAGTTGAACCTATTTTATAACAGATTCATACACCATGCATTACTTATGTAATTTTTAATAATAAAAAAAATGTTTTCTTGACAGGTATCCTAATTCATAACTTAAATTTCAAAGTATAACATTTCATCAATAAATTGCATGACATTGATTGGATAGGATCTAAATAATGATCACTTCACTGTACTATTTTGCTCGAACTATCAAAATTAGTGATATACCTTGGAAGATTATTTCAATTTTTACCCAAAAACTGCCAGTTAATAGAAAAATTAATTATGCCTTACCCAGATCCAAATCTTCTCCTGCTGGTCTGGTAGAGTAGGGAATGTTACGGTAAATTACATCCAATATTTTATCTTTCGCCTGAGTGATGGTATCACAGTCTAGACAGCGGCATTTGTATTTCTTCCCTTCATATTCTACATTTAATGTCTACAAGTAAGCAAAACATTCATTTTAAAAAAATATTAATTACGCTTCTTAGATAAAAATTACACTGTTATGAAAAATTATTTTCCGATTGCAGATAATTGTGTTTATCATTTTAATTGCACAAAGTGGAATGTGTCTCTCGACACCATGTCCCCCTTGTATTATCACATCTCTATGTTCAAAGAACACGCACAATCTGGGTCAAAACACTAATTTGCCAACTTTTTACAAATCTTCACATCCTTATGAACTTTATTGGTGCGCTAGGGTAAATTTTTGTATTCTTGTCTTTCGTTTTAGCTAATGTGCTTTGTCTATATGCCTTTTTGTTTGTCTTTGTTGACATATTTGCTTGTTTTTGTAGTGAAAAAGATTAAAACACAATGTTGACTGCTGTACCCCTATTTTTGACATTTTTACCTATTATGTCTGTTTGTTTTGTTCACACATCGTTGTCAATATAATGGAATGTTATGCGACTGTCATATAAGTGAGAGATTTAGCAAGCTATAAAACCAGGTCTAATCCACCATTTTCTACATAAGAAAATGCCTGTACCAAGTCAGGAATATGACAGTTGTTATCTATTCGTTTGATGTGTTTGGGCTTTTGATTTTGCCATTTGCTTAGGGAATTTCCGTTAAGAATTTTCCTTGGAGTTCGGTATTTTTTGTTATTTTACTTTTTATACCAAAACTTTAAAAACCTTGTACGATTGACTGATGACTGAATGGAGTGTAGCCCACAAAACATAATGACGCTATTGTAAGGGTATAAAAACACACAACTTTTTGCTTGAAATTGAAACTCGTCTCAATTCATAGGTGAATTAAATACTTTTAATACTGTACAAGCACTACAGCAACCAGTTTTTCCAAAAAATATCCTTTAATAAGATAATGTCACTGTTTCAACCCTATAAAGTAAAGTGTACAGCAAAATCTAACAACATTTAAATGCCAGATTTCTTTGATTATAACGAGTACAAAATGAACAAATTTCAATTGCTCTACTGGTACATCCAATACTAACTATGGTAACAGGTTCCAGTCTGTTTTCTGTCCTTAGTAACCTGTCTTCAGACAAAGAGTACCTTGCATCACCAGTGACTGCATCTACTGGACCACTAACTACTTGGAATTTTATTGCTTGGTACAACAAATACAAAGAGGAACCAGTCGACTCCTGATAATTAAATGAATCTTTATGTATAATGCACAATTTTGATAAGTTGACCAAGATAAACTTGTATTAGAATGGTCCTGAACCTAAATACTTAGAAACAGACAATTGAAACTGAGTTAGTAGTTAGTATATGTATCAATCGTATATTGTAAGAATGTACTATCTTGATATTTACATTACTTATACTATATAAATGTACAATTTGTTTTATTTTAATGAAAAAAAATACTACAAATAAGAAATATTTACCAACTAAATAGATAAACATACCTCTAAATTTTTATACATACAAAGAGCTAACCAATTAGCCAGCAGTTTTTCTACCACTGATTCTGCCCTGAAATACAATGAATAAACATTGAGGAATCTTTAATATTTTCAGTATATTGTCCTATTCTCTATATTTTAGAAAGAACAGAATGCAAGACAAATGAAAGATGATTTGTTATTCACTAGTTTTGGTGTAATTTTTACTCATACTTAATTCCACTAAGCACGCTCAAAATGGACACAATAGGTAAAACTGATTTATCATGTCAAGTATCCATAATTACCTCCACAGCATTAATTCCGGATGTTTTCCTCTCACTGACTTCTCTACCAACTCTTTTAATAATGACTGTATAATTCTAAAAATTCACATCAATACAATTTTTTAAAACATACTTAATATCAAATACTATACAAGTCACATTATTTGTGTTAACTAAGAAATAATTGCAACAAATATTTTATGCAAGAAATAGACAGCATTTATTGTAGAAAACAATTCTTCACTTCATCCACAAAACTTTCACTATTTAAATTTAACCATTAAGAAGTGCAATGTTTGTGATATCATTTCGCCCCTATGTTCTATTTTCGCAACAGCGACCATGTTTGTTTATAGATCAAATCCAAGGATACAAAAACTAAAACAATTGATATTAACAATGGTAAAGTGCAACATTTCTTTCTGTAATTTATTCCAAGTAACATTAACAAACTGTAATTTATTCCAAAAATCATTAACAAAGTGTATAGTGTGATAGATGATATAGGTACTTATATGTAGGTTATTCTAAAATTTAATTGCTATTGTTTGAATAAGTATTAGAAAAATATAAATATTCATTCAATTTATGAGGAGAAAAATGTGTACTTACTTAGTTATATATTCCAAATTATTTCGATACAATATTATCAACAAAGAAGCTACATTTGATCTGAAAAAATAAAAAAAGTAGAGATAATTAACATGTCAATTGTTCACGAACAATTGACAGGTCTTTCCTTTTCAAATGTAACATATATGTTTAAGCAGATGTAAAATGCATTGAAAAGCATTAAACACACATAAAACCCTTAAAATATGTTCAAAAACATAAAGTTCAAAAACTTTGTCAAGGTCATTGGTCCCCGGTGTCCCTGCTGAAGACACCATAGGTCTAGGAACTTTGGTTAAAGAGTTAAAGCTAATTTTGTCGTTTCAGAAACCGTTAACGGGGTTATGCCCTTACGGATAGGTCAAATCTCTTCGGTCAAAATGTACCAAAGTTACGCCTTGATGACTCAAACATTTTTCACTTTTGACGATTCCTGTATGTATTAGGGTGTCTGAGATATCCCAAAACAAGTAGTAAGGCCAAAGTTCAAGGTCAACGTAAAAAAAGCTATAAAAGACACTCAAAACCCTTTAATTAAGGTCAAAAAACATAAATCGCTATCTGGGACATGACCTTGTAACTTTTGTCAAGGTCATTGGTCCCCAATATCATTGGAAAAGATCCCATGGGTCTAGGACCTTTGGTTCAATAGTAAAAGCTAATAATGTCTTTTCAGAAACCGTTAGGGGGGGGGGGGGGTTATGCCCCTTACAGACAGGTCAAATCTCTTAGGTCAAAATGTAAAGTTGATCCTTAATTACCCAAATATTTTCCACTATTCAAGACTTCTGTTAGTATAATGGTTTCCGAGATAATCCCATAAAAAGTTGTAAGGTGTAAGGTCAAAGGTTAAGGTCAACGTAAAAATTTGATCTTTAGGCAATTTCAAGGTCACATGAATAGATGATCTTGGTGAAGGTCCTAGATGGCTACGACTTACGGTTTCTGAGTTTAAGTGGCCAACCGACATCGGTAAATTTTTAAATGGGCATAACCCTACCAATAAGTCGTTGAATCTTTTCGGTCCAAATGTAGCGAAGAACCAGGGTCTGGTCCTGAACAAATCCCACCCTTTGGTTTTTTTCTACCTATTATGGTTACGGTGTTTGAATGATAACAAGGTTTATAGGTTTCGGGCAGATAACTCAGGACCGACAAAATTTTACGACGCACAGGCTGACACCGATACAAAGTGTGAACCTGAAAGCGACATGTCTTACGGTTACGGAGGAAAATTTTTTCAAAGTTTGGCGGAAAAAAAGACCTTAATAATCAGAAGAAATACAGTAAGGTCTTTCCTTATAGTGAAAGGAAGACCTTAATAAGATACGGTTTCTTCATTTTGATATCTTGAGTTTTTAGTGTGTGAAAAAACTAATAACACAGATTATACATAATGAAACTATATATAACTTTTGTCTATTTCCATCTCAAAGTACTCATTTAGCAGTCAAGTATCTAAGAGTATAAATAAAATAAATGTATGGTAAATATCAATGAGACATCAACCGAATGACATAAATTACCAAAAGACAAGTAGAAGCGTTTCATCTTGATTTTAACTCTAGTAAAAATTCTGTTAGACGTTGCAAAAGATTTAATTATTTCTGTTTCCATTTAATCTTCCTAGAATAATATATAAGGCTCTATATTATTGAACAAATTTTCAATACTTACTTATCTCGGATTCCAAAACTTGTTTGCCTTTCTAATGTGCGTATGAAATTTAATAAGAACTGTTTATTTTGTAAAAGCTGACTAAAATGACAAATTGCAACATCTGGATGTCTTTCATTGTTCCCATTCTTTGGCTGAAAAACAAAATGATTAAATAAAATAAAAATAAAATTTAAAACAAACTTTACAATTTTTCGTACTGAATAAAATGATAAAATAAAATAAAACTGACAACACTTATGTATGTTTTCATCTTGTCTATGAAATCCATTACCTACAGGAGATGAATAAATTAATATATCATTCAACATTTTATTCATTTACAAATTCTCCAATGGTTGAAATAGATAACTTTTTATTGAACAAAACCTTAAAAAACTTACATTTTTCACAATGCAAGATTATACTATAAAGAATCTTAAAAGATAAAAAATATTTTGTGAAAAAAAAACAAAAATATTTTGCCGTAGAGTGAAACAATCACTTTATCTATCACCTATTTAGGCTACTTGTAAATGCAAGGGAGATAACTCTTCAAATCGTAAACACAATCAAATGTAAAGGACTTACAATTGGAGGATGAAGTACAACATGATCTAGCATCTGAGGGAAAAGTATTTTGAATGTATAATCATCAAAACTGTAGAGAGGTTTCTTTCCATCCCCTATCTCGGCAGTCAGGTCTGTCATACCTGTTTGCAATTCATCAAAGGTAGCAATTGAAAATATGTACATGAAATTCAATGACATGAATAACATCTACTTTGTTTTTTCTTAAAAAATCATTGAATCATCCGGTCAATGGATATATCTTAGTTGTTATGGTAATTGTGGAAGTGTATTAAGCAATTTCAATTTCGTTATCCTCACGGTAAATATAACTTCACAAGAATAAACTGCCTTTACATTTTTTTTCAATTATTTCAATCCCCTTTTTATGCACATTGGAAAAATTTCCTACTGCAAGAAACTAATATTTCAGAAAATAGGATTACACTTAGGTATAAATAAACATAAAATTGTGTTTTTTTTCTAAACATATTTGTTGTGAAGTCCGCTTACCATACTTACTAGACGTACAGTATAGCGCGCCGCACAATTGTTTCATCATTACTTGTTTTATACCGCAAACATGATCAGTTTCATATACATGTATTAGCCAACCCGTAACAGCAGCAAACCAACAATCTACACACACTAATGAACTTTTAGTCAAACCAAATACCAAGTTACATTATATTCCTCATCATTCAATGCAACACCTGATATCGCCAGCTTAAACGATTGCTTACTTAACGTACCTCCAGAGTTCAATGATGTTACCGCAATACTTTTTAGGTTCCGCATGAATAAATACGCCGTACAGATATCGAAAAGGCCTTTCTCAATGTTGGACTAGATATTGACGACCGAGACGTCACTAGATTTCTGGTTAGGCTATCCAACAGACCCAAGCAGTTAAAACTTTAAGGTTTAAGTCTGTATTATTCGGAGCCACCTGCTCACCCTATATATTAAATGCTGTTTTATCAAAACACATCAACAACGACCAGACAGAATTTACTGACAATTCAATGAGAGATTTGTACATTGACAATATTGTAACTAGTTTTAATTCCGGAGACGAATTGTCACAATATTTCAAAGTTATTCGCAAATTATTTACAGATGGTGGATTCAATTTACGCGCATGGGCATCAAATAACAAACTATAACAACAACTTGCAGAATCCGAAAAAGTTCTCGACACAGCGCAGGTAGTCAAAATATTAGGCTTGCGTTGGAATACAAATCACAATACAATAAAGTATGCTGAAAATATTCCCAAACACGGAAATAGAACACACGAAACGCGAAGTACTAAGAGAATCATCCAAGAGTTATGATCCAATCGGGATCATCAGTCCAGTTACCGTACGTGCTAAAATTTGTATGCAAATACTTTGGGGCGAAAATATGAAATGGGACGATCTATTGCCTGATCATATGATAACACAATGAATTGACAACAGACGAGATATTAATGAAGCTGCAAAGACCGTTATACAACATCATTACTTCAAAATTGCTCGGATTCGAACAGAGACTATCTAAAACATGTATTTATGGATGCCAGCAGGAAAGCTTACGGAGCTTGTGCATACCTCGTTTTGAAAGGAAAAAGTTCACTCTTAATGTCAAGAAACCTAGTAACAACTTTAAAACAACTAACAATACCAAGACTAGAATTTATGGCTGCAGTTATTGGAAGTCAACTTTTACCTCACATTTTGACTCACATTAATGTTAATCGTGTCATATTATGGAGCAATAGCCAAATTGTGTTGAACTGGTTGAGTTCAAACAAGACGATTAAAAGAAAAATAAAGAAGTGACAAAAAAGATTAAATGAAAATACTGCCTAAGTGAATCCAATCTCGCCGATTTGCTATCAAGAGATATAGCAAACGAAAAGTTTAGAGACAACGTGTTATGGTTGAATGGTTCTCATTGGTTAACAAACGAGAAAAAATGGACTTAATGGAAAATAGATAAAACGCAGATTATGTCTACATTTGCTCAACAAGTAGTTACCGTTGATACGACACAAATACTGAATACGCACGATGCAACGCAGGAAATCAATAACATAATTGACATTGACAGATTTGACTCTTTCAAGAAAGTTTTGAGAGTTACAGCCTATGTACAAAGATTTAAAGCTAATTGTAGATCAGGAGAACAACTAACTTGAAAACTCAATACACAAGAAATACAGAATACAACGTTAACTTTGATACAAGAAGTACCACAAAGACACTATGGTTGCGTGAAGCTAAGCTTACCAGTAGGCGAGACCAAGACACACAACTTAGTTAAAAAATTGAAACTTTATTTGAATAAGGACAACTTGATTCGTTGTGAAGAACGGATTTATAAATTAGCACTGGATGAATCAACAAAATTTCCCATATGGCTACCTGCAGCAAAAGATAAACTAACTAAAGACATCGGATGTTCACATTTCACATTTACACTCAGGATAGTCGAGTACCGTCACACTTCTCCGTCAGACTTATTGGATACCGATTATACGATAAGTTGCAAACAGTATCATACGCAAATGTGTGACCTCTAAAAAAGATAAAGGCCGACCGTATACAGCTCCAGATCCGCTCCTTTATCGAAGGACAGACTATGAGGAGCACCGTCGTTCACAATAACGGTTGTGGATTTTACTGGCGCTTTTACAGTGAAAAACAGTGATAGAACAACTAGTATTTTTAGTATTTTTAATTCATCTTTTGCGCAGCCCAAGGACGTTGTGAAGTCCGCTCACTAGATGAACAGTACAGTGCAACCCTCAATTGTAACGTCACAATCGTTGACGTTCTTCATTTAGCTTTCTCAATACATTCATCAAACTATCAAGACGTCTGTTCTTTAGTTCATGCAATTATACGATATCTTAGCTACTATACGCAATATTGATGCCGTGACTGCAAGAAACTAATATGTCAGAAAATTGGATTACATTTAGGTATAAATAAACATAAAATTGCGTGCTTTTAAACATATAAACAATACACTTATGTCACTATTTACCTTGTTTAGACTCATTTATGATACTGCTTTCCATGTTATATAGTTGGTACCTCATTTTTTCAAAGTCTCGCTTTGATTTGTTTTTCTGACGTCTATAGATACAGCAACATATGATGATTGTCACGATGATAAACAGTCCAACACCAGTCACTCCACCAACGATGTAATCAAGTGGTATACCCAATTGCTTGTCTGATCCATATTCTAAGTAACCAACAAAGTATTTTTCATTTCCAAACTGGACCTAAATACAATATATTTTATAATTTAGACAAAGTTTCATTTTTTTTTGGTATATGTTTAGTGTTGCTCAGTATATATCTGCCTCAATTAAATTATAATACTTATCAAATATCTCATTTACACTATATTATGTTGCCTTTTTCAACGGTCGTCTTTACATATAAACTGTAAATATTGTAGATGAAGTTGCACCAAAACAAATTGAGAATGCACATTCAATGAATTAATACAATGTTTGGTCACTTATTAAATACCTTTTTAATCTTTTAATTCTTGGATAATTTAATCCATAATGACTTACGGTTTTTCATTTTACATCCTTTCCATCATTTTTTTAACAAAAAATTGTAATTTGATTTTAAATGGTCCTTTCTGACCCATTATTGGGCTCTTGACAAGGAGCATAAATTGGCATTTCAGCAAATGTAAACTTTAGACTGCTTTGAAAACTTACCACAACTGCAGGCATATCACTCCTGCTATATTCAGCTGTTGGTTTTGGTTGTGATGAAGGAGGGTCACATACAATCTGATCCTCAGACAAATTTGTTACATTGCAATTGGCATTTCCAATGGCAACTTGTACATCTTCTCTTTTAGCTGCCACCATTAAATTTTTTCCCTATCATTAAAAAATATCATATCATCAATTACAAAAAATGGGTTTACATTTTTTCCAGCACAGCTGCTTTTCTACACGTATGGGGATGATACAAGGCAATATATATCAGCCAACAAAGTCTCAGATTGTCAATTGGAATAACAAAGATAGGAAAAATATCTAAGAGACAATAGCCTTACACAGATATACTTGCAATATACAAGTCTAGAGATCACAAGTTATGTCTGGAAGTTACAAAAATGCTTATTTTTGGCCCCTTTTTGGCCCCTAATTCCTTTACTGTTGGTACCATAACCCCCAAAATCAATCCCAACCTTCCTTTTGTGGTATTGAACCTTGTGGTAAAATTCATAGAGATCCATTCACTTAAACTAAAGTTAGAGTGCGAAAACCAATGTGTCTTCGGACGACGCCGGACGACGACGACAACGACGACGACGCCAACGTCATACCAATATACGACCACAAAAATTGTTTTCCGGTCGTATAACAACTCTTAATCCACATAAAGTTTTTTTTTTTGGTTTACTTTGCAGCAATCATTATCAGGTGATCTTTTACACCGGTTTACACTTTCTAATTCGAAGGGCCAAAACATGGCTCGATTCATTCCTACTGTTCTATTTTGGTATCTGCATTCTTTTTAAATATACAACTTACATTTATGATAACGATTTCTGATTTGAAGAGTTTCACATTGTCATTGTCTTCCTTGTCTGGATCAAACCTGTACACTAAAGGATCTGGGAAGTACTGTAACTGATTGTTGATGCCAGTCAATTTTTTGACATTGACTGCATTATCCATTATAAATCCAATTGCTGCTGTCATCAATGCTGTTGATCGTCTAAGTCGTCTGTATCTTGTCAAGAGTTTGGGTGATGGACAGAACATAAATGTTTCATTTTTGACCTGACAGTTCTGAAATAGCATATCAAAATCTGATTTAGCAAGCTTCTCATTACCTATAGATAACACGATTATATATCACTGACATTCACACTATGACTGTTCCATATAATATAAAGATTAAGTTAAAATAAATGAAGAGTGTTATGGTAACAGGCTCATTTCCCGTACAGGGAGTACTGCAAAATAAAAGTAAATTTATCTCTTATTCAAATATGTTACCAAACTGATTTGATTCATGCACGTCTTCGTATGGTGTTCCACTGAACACAAAGCAATCTATTAATCACAAAATTTATTGTATGGTACAATATATAATAGTGTAAAGTTAAGTTTGAATTCAACAGTTTAAGAGTTGTGCTAACAAAATCCTGCACAAACAGACAATATTTTTGAAGGACAAATGAAGGATGAAAAAGATTACATCTAAAGATATCTTCCCTCTAAAAACCTTGTTAACGGTCTATCCATAACAAATTTATTTTCATTGCTGATCTACTTCATGCAATCACGTTTACTATTTATACAGAACTTAATTTTGTCTATGTTTGTGTGGTCTATACAGATGAATAAACAAAACAAGTCTTTTTTTATTACAAATATTAAAACATTTTTTCCATGGAGTCTAAGTAGGACATACCGTAAGACTTGACATGACAGAATTTGTCCAGATGAACATTTTTGGTTGATCGATAATGTTTATATTGGTTCCCACAACTGTTAGTCTTCTTCCTCCACTAAAATTAGTCATGAAAAGTATCAAATATAGTAACATTGATACGATTTTACAAGTGATACAATTCAGATACTATTTTCGTTTTAAAAGGGCATTAGCTGTCAAATTCATATTCACCGATTTCACTAAAATTCTCATATTTGATTTATAACATACTGAAACGTTTATCCAAATTACAATACGTCTGAAATAAACAATTAACAATGCCAGGATTCGATAATATATATCATCATTTCGTGTGTATTTTAGTTGAGACGTCATCTAATTAATCATATTTTACAATTGATACAGAATTGTACAATTTATCCATTTTAATTAGATAATATTTCCGTTTTAAAGCAGCATTAGCTGCCAAATTCGTGTTCACCGATTTTACTCAAATTATCATATTTAATTTATAACATACTGAAACGTATATCAAAATAACAATAAGTCTGAAATAAACAATTAACAATGCATGGATTCGATAATATATATCATCATTTCGTGTGTATTTTAGTTTTCACGCCATCTAATTAATCATCGAGATGACCTCCGAAGACTGCCGACGGTCATATAACCCGATATAAACAAAAACATAAATATAAATAGATAGCGACCTCGTGCAATTAGACTTTTCTAGGTCTGTTTGAATTCATGTTATAGGTTAAAAAAATTAATTAATCATCGTTTTTACCTGTATAAGAATGATTTTTTGATGATCGAATAAGTCAACGAAATGGTTCACCTTTGTTTCGATTTCAATTTTGATATTCTTTTCCTTTTAATGGCTGAACACGACTAATACATGCGTAATCAATCTCTAGCTATTGGGTTAAATTGAAGATCACATGAATACGGATTCAATGAGGTCGAATTATTCATTTGCAAGTGAATAATTCATCAGCGATGTTTCTTAGCTTTTTTGACAAAATTGAAGTAAACTGGCTGCTAAAAGCGAATTATTACTTCACGATTTCACTTTCATTAATGATTAGTCATATTTTTTATGTTTTTTATATCTCGTAGCTAATAAAATTACCTTTATTCATAATGTAATAGGTCATTATTATAGTGTTATCAAATGGGTGTTTTCATATTAATCCTGTTTTATGTTCAAGTACAGTTGAATTAGCTCGAGGCGGAGACAGAAGCCAACACAGCTGATCGAGTTCCAATTCAACTGTACGAGGACATAATACAGGATTAATAAGAAAACACCAATTTTATGACACCTCTATTAACCAATGACTTGAAATAACCACCAAAAGCTGACTGAGGGTAAATACCAATATATGAAGACTCATAGAGTATCAATATGAACTATTTCGGTTAATTAACATTTAATTGCCAGGAATGTTGCAGCGCCCGCATACGGAGTATATATCTCCCAATTGATACGATATTCCCGGGCTTGTGTTTCCTATCATGATTTCCTTGATGGAGGATTGCTGCTCACAAGGAAGCTATTAAACCAAGAGTTCCAAATGGTGAAGTTGAAATCATCCCTTCGTAAATTTTACGGACGCCATCACGAGTTGGTTGACCGTTATGGAATAACCGTTTCACAGATGATATCGGATATGTTCCTTATGTCGTAACTACAATACCCTTCCCTTTTCACGAATGTGACTTACCGAATTAGACTATTTACCGGATTTGTAATAACATAAGCAACATGACGGGTGCCACATGTGGGGCAGGATCTGCTTACCCTTCCGGAGCACCTGAGATCACCCCCAGTTTTTGGTGTTTGTCTTTTTATTTTTGGCCATGACGGTGTCAGTTTGTTTTCGATCTATGAGTTTGACTGTCCCTCTGGTATCTTTCGTCCCTCTTGAATAACCATACAAAATAATAATTTGCGACGAATTATCCTTATATTCACCGGTAGAAATCCCTTTGGGCCTCTCAATTTTTACACGAGTTATCTGCCATCAAAATCAAGTTACTGACATATGTAAACAAAATGGCATCGTCCAAGTAAGAAATTTGTTGACTGGAGTGACGATGAAACAAGTATTTGAAATCCATCTGGTGCCAAGGATAGCTTTCACAAACAGCCCTTTTCAGGGCCACCATTATTTTTAAAGAAAGAGTCCTCATTTATTGTATATATGAGGCATTTTAAATCACAAAATAATTCTCTGGCGCATATGTGACAAATTATTTGTTTATACATCAGTAAAAAGTCAGATAAAACGGAAGTCCTTCATCAAATGACAAAATCAAAAGCTTAAACACATTAAACGATTGGAAAACAACTGTCATATTCCTGACTTGGTACAGGCATTTCCTTATGTAGCAAATGGTAGATTAAACCTGGTAAGACATGTACAAGGGCTTCATTAACATGTATTTCCATGGTTCGAAGGGCCCTTTGGTATAATTAAAGAAGTGTGGTCCATCCGAAGCAGTGAATATCCAAGATTGTTAACCCTACAAATTTCTCTCATATCGCCCTGAGAGAAATAATCTTTTATGGTTGACAATTCTGAATATTCACCATTCCAAAGTTCCATAATTATATATACTCAAAGACAAAAATAGTATAACATGTGAAATATAACAACAACTCTTAACATCAAACATGTTGTTATCTAACATTTTGCGTAATACACACATCTATTTTCTGATAGTTTTTTGAACAAAAAACCGGAAGTTAAAATCCTGTATTAATACCAGTAAAAAATATGTATTAACCTGCTTTTCTGTATTAGACGTGTATTATTTACCAGTTCTCAGACACATGGAAACATATTAAAAGGGCAATTTATAATGTATTTTAAGTCATTGGTTAATAAATAGTAATATAAAATTGACAGTTAGTATGGAAAATTTTTATCAATATTCAGAATTGGTAGTCTTCACTTTCTCTAACTCTTTGGCAATTTAACCATTTCCGGACCCATTGTATATAAAAAATTAATCAACGTGTTGCTGCTGATGATCTCAGAAGATGATTGGATTAGTTAAAGGGTCACAACCTTTATCAGCTCACTGGATGGATCAAAATGTGCTAACAGGTGTTAATGAAATTGACAACTTTGTTGAATGTAGAAGGCACTCAAAGAGGATTTTCGTTTATCAAAAATGAAAATTTATTTGATAATCATTGGAGAAACAGATTCTTGCATATATACTCGTGGATTATCAGATTTATACAATCTCCAAGGCTAAGACTTTAAAATTCGATAATAAATCCAATAATCCACTGGTACCAATGTTAGAATCTATATTTATCCATGCATGGATATTTTTTTCAATTTATAAAATATATGGAAAAATTTTAGTTTTATTTTCAAAGCAACATTTGCAAAGTCAAAAGAAGGAGGCTGTTCATTAAAAATTTCAAAATTTTGCCCTAAAAGCAAAAGTTATTTGCAGTATATGATAACATTACTTAATTTTTATCATACTTTAAGTTTCAAAGGTTATTATAGTCATTAAATGGTCATAGAAATAGACTTGTTGTTTAGGTAAAAAGTATATAGACTAAGTTAGTCTACATAACAATTGACCATACCAAATTTGTTGGAGTTAATTTGGCTTTAACCAAACTATTCTGTCTATTGAAATAACTAGACCATGGAGAGTTGCACTGTATGTCTATATTGATTTTGTAGACTTCAGAGGTACCAGTAAATTTGCACTTTTCTTATATTAAAAAGTCACATTAACTGACTTGTGTGTGGCAAATCAAAATGGGTCAATTTAGAGGGGTCATGACTATCCTCCTTGAAACAAATGACTTCATTACTTTTAACCTACCTTTTGAAACTTTTCAATGGGTATATCTTTGAGATTACTGGATCTGCTACGTATGCGAAACTTATGTTGCCAACCATATCCTGTCTGATCTCATTACCATCAACTTTGACCGAAACTTTAGCATTACCCAGTTTACCTGGTGGCAGTCGACATTTGATGTGTGTTTTAGTTTTACTATCAATAAACAAGAAAAACATCAAACATCAAACCTTGTGAAGTCAGTGAACTACTAGATGCTTTGCTCCTTTAAGCTTAATATTTTGCTATATACAAATACATTATGAGCTTTCATTACTTTTCCCAGGCAAATGATACTCTTTTCTGGGTTCTGAGGGAAGGCAATATTTAGTCATCTGGTTTATAACTAAAATTTAAAAGTACTTTTTCAAGGATTAAGCTGTTCTTTCTTTTTAGAATTATAGTTTTCCTTTGTTTTAAACATTAAAAACATTGTATAACAGTTGTGCATTAATCTTTTAATAAAATGTGTGTGTCCAGACTAATTTTCCTAGGAATTCATGTCCTTGTCATTAATATTACCAGATAAAAACGCCCATGTCCTTTATTTTACTAGGGAAACTTGTAAGGAAAGAAATCATGTAACAATGGAATTTTCGATTGTTATGTTTTAATAATTGGTTAAACATAGGCTGTTGACCAAAGCCGGAATTTTCAAATTTCAATTGTCAGAAATACTACACGGCTATATCATATATCAGTCGATTCGATAATGTGTGTACTTTAAAATTAATTTGGTCGTCAAAAGAAAATATGGTGCAGTTTTCAGAAATTAAGATCAAAGTTCACTTATCGTTTTCAAGGGAAAACAAAATTGAATATATAATTCCAATTCAAATACACTTTTTGCAGTAGAATGACTGCAAACTTGAATCTATTTTCTTCCTTATTTAATTGTTCACAAAAAAAGTAGAAACCCATCATTTAATAATTTTGCCGATTAAACGTATGCGACTTTACAAAAAGGGGGTTGGTTTTCATTTTAAAAAGATGTATTTTTTCAAATAATAAGAACAGCGGCCGTTAAAACTAGACAAATATGAAGAAATATGTATTTCAGCTATCTATTATACCACAATGAAAGTGGAAAATAGAGTTTTGGGCATATAGGTTGAATTCGGTACATGCAAAACTGACAACAACAAGAATGTGTCCATAGTACACGGATGCCCCACTCGCACTATCATTTTCTATGTTCAGTTAGAAAGATCATCTCATAGGGCACATGTGTACTAAGTTTCAAGTTGATTGGACTTCAACTTCATCAAAACTAACTTTAACCTGAAGCGGGACAGACGAACGAACAAACGAACGGACTCACAGACCGAAAAACATAATGCTCCTCTACTCTCGTAGGAGGGGCATAAACATTATTTCAAAACAGACTTATAATTGAGTTTAAACAATGTCATGACGTTTCGTATGAAATAAAATGTATTAATAGGAATATAAATCATTATAAAATAGACTAACAACTTTAAAAAGACATTTTTGGTGACTAGAAGCGCCTTTCATCCGTTTAAAAATTGAGAACGTTTCAGTTGTTCAATCCCAAATTAAGTGACACAAGATAAGAAATTTACTATATGCAGGATCTTTTAACATCGCACTAAACATACGTAACTTTAATAAGTAATTCAGACCACAAACAACTTTTGTATTGTGGGAACGTTATAACAAGGTTCTGACCATTGGCTGGAATACATTTGTTTGTACATGGAAGGTTAAACAAATTTCGAATATCAACATTAGTCTAAAGTTTCACTATCGTTAACGAACACGACAAAATGCTTAAAACACAAAGTCCAAATAATATTGCTAATATGAATGTTAAGCTTCGGACATTTGACCCGTTGTGCAATGGAATAGAGTGCTGGTCAAATGTTTGTGCACATCATGTAGCGTGCTTTTATCCAGCATCATAGAACATTTCAAAAACATTTCGTCATTGCAGAATACACTTTGGCCACATCAATCTAAAATTAGGGGCCATAAAAACAACTGTAACATCAGGGCGCTTCTAGGACAAATGTCAAATGAACCCTTTCCAGAAGGAATAGTTTGTCCTACTGCTTGCAACTCTATATATTTCTCAACAAAAGTCAAGAAAAAAGTCATCTCTAGTCGACAGTATACATTTGCCATGATCACATGATTGTAGTTTATGGAAAGTTTCCAATTGTCGTGGTTGTTCTGTCTTAGGTCTGGTCTGTATAAATTGATTTGATATCTGAACTAGGGTGAGCGTTGATATCTCACTGTTGATGGTAAAAAAATTGTTTCTGTAAATTTTTCTTTGTATTTAATGAATAAAGTTTGAATTTTGTAAAGGTTTACGGTGGTTGTATGACAAGTTAGCCTTTACCTAAATATTTTTTTTTTAAAGTATGTAATCCCTTTTCTTGATTGTAGCTTTTTTACAACAATATAATGCATAATGTATCAATTGAGATATGTTAACACCATACGATGGCGCAGAGGATATAATACTATTGAGAAATGGGGAAATTGACAATTAGAAAGTTGAAATCGTCATGCAACATTTGTCATAGATTTTTGTTTGAAGTCGTCAATCTGTTTCAATATCAAAGAAAAGGTCAAGGTATGAAGCAGACATTCTAGGTTCGGTAGTATCGTTTATCACAAGCTCACTGGGATTTATGAAATGTAAGTACTGACTGAAATGTGTAATATAGAGAGACAGGACATATTCAATATATCTGAACTAGAAATCAATGGCTTTTTTAGGTCATTGAAAAGGTTCTGCATTTCCAATTGGAATGAGGACTGTAAACATCGTTATGTTATGTTGACTTATGCATCAATCGTGTCGACTTTTATAAAAAAAAAATTTCCAAACGAATCGAAAGAACCAAAGTCACAATCATCCGCGTACTTTCGAGTAAATTCATCTTTACAGCTATCAACTGTGTCAAAATACCGCGATTAACTGTAAGTGTAAATAAAAAAATTATCCGACATCTGCTTTTGAGAAAATAACACTATTTAAAGGATTAAACTTAGTGTTTGTTTCTTTGAAATGTTAAAGCCAAGGTTCAACGGATTTCCCAGTTTTGTCATCTTTTGGGGGATTTTTTTCGGATCCCTATTTCTTAAATATACAACTGAAAAACTTATGTTTGCCTCTTATGTGAATAAAACTATACCAACACAACCTCAAAAAATAGTTACGGCCACCCAAAAAAATCAATGAAACAATATAACATCAACAAATACAAGTAATATGAAGTCCAAAATCTATGAGGAAAACTATGTATTCAGCCCAATCAGGGACGGGACACAACCTTTCGGAAATTTTTTAAAATTAATGATTGAATAGTAGAGATTTTGAAATTTAAAAAAATATCGTTTTAAATAATCTTACCTCATAAAAACATGTGATAATGAAAAGAAAACAGTTACGGTACAATTAATTCATCAGCGCTTAATTGTATGATGTTGGAATCCGGTGAAACACAAAATGTGCCCGTTTACAGTAATTCGTACTTTCATAATTTGTTATCAAAAGGCGTTTAGTATTAATGTTTTCGCCTAATCAATAAAACATTATGTGTAATGTTTGAATAAAATAAAAAGAAAATATATTTGAGTGCAGCCTTTGAATAAAAAGTCAAACTGCATGCCACTTATGATCTGCATTTGAAATCAAATTTGCTAGCTAAACGCTAAAATAAAATAAAAAATGCACCATACGGCCTTTTGACGACCGATCTTAGTTTCTCTCGGACTGTGCAAATTTTTAGCCGTGTAATACGAAGTGAAATTAAACTCTTTTAATATTTGATTTTCTCCTATTCCATCACTGCACTTACAGTTGTGCATTTATCTTTTTTAATAAAATTTATGTACTCAGACTAATTTTCCTAGGAATTCGTGTTCATGTCATTATTATTCCGAGGCAAAAACGTCAATGTCCTTGATTATTAGGAAAATAAGTGCCGAAAATATTTTACTACTTATGGACTTATTTTCTTTGGAAAATTTATCCTGGGACATATATTCCTAGGAAAATTATGGTCATGGACTTGATTACGGAGTAAAAAAAGTCCGGGGAACAAATTTTAATACCGAACCCAATTTACTGTTAGACATTTTCTCATTAATCTAATGAATATTTTAAATAGAGTAATATATATAAATATCTAGATTTATAGCACTACATTTGTATTTGAACAATATTTATGTTGTGTTGGCCTTTGAAATTGTATATTTTATACCCATCATTTACTTCTATGAAGCTCTTTTTTCTGGCCAGACTTGTTAGTTGAACCAATTTAAAAGATAATAAATAACTAATTACAGTGTTGCACTAATCTAAGCAATGACCTCACAGATTTGAAATTTGTTAAGCTATTAACAAGAATGACAAGTGTTCATTAGATGGATTGAATGTCTTATTTGGTAGTGTTTTGGGTTGTTTTTCTTTATCAGGTTCAATGTTCTATCCATTAGGTTTTTCTACATTTGCATTCTTGAAACTGATAAGAATTATATTTTTGAAAAGTGCTGCACACTGAACATCAGAGTAGCTCTATATAAAGATATTATACCTGTATGTTTATACATACCTTGTAAAATTACACTCTTTATCATTGACAGTGACCTCCAGTTGGGTTCCTAAAAAGATAGGATCTCCATGCAAGGTCAAAATAGCTCCTCCGGACAATGCTCTTTTATGTGGTGTTACTCGTTGTAGTATTGGATTCTATCAATAAATATATCAATATCAATATATATTCATCAATAATTCTAATGATAAATAAGAAAAGTTTCTTAGTGCCTATGGGCTATTCAATTTATTGTATATTATGAAAACATTTCAACTCATTTTATTTTCCTATTTCAATATACAGTTGATGTCCTATACATTTAAGCCCTTTATCCAACCCTTTAGAAGATAGTATACTAAAGGCTCTTATAAAACTAATGTTAAGTGTCTAGGAATTTTTTAATTTTTTCTTTATTTAAAAAATTTGCATTGCTCATGTTGCTAGACTAAATGTGAACACTAGTGAATGTGGAAACACTTGCTACAATGTACATTAAAGCTTCTTCCAAAACATGCAAAAAGACCATAAAATCAAAGCTATATTGTTTAAACTATTATCAATATCATTAACTGACATGAAATCTCGAAATACTTTCTAGTTTACAACTTGCCAAATATTGAAATTCAAACTGATAGAATGGTATGTTAAGAACTACTATATGTCCCTCTTTAACACCTGCATCACTGGCTCCCAGCATACAAACTATCCTGTAAAATAAGCAAAACCGATACAATTAAAAGTCAGTATAATTATAGATTATAACATGTCCTTTTCCATATCGACCCTGGTATCATCCCGAATTTCCCATATTAGCCCAAGTCCGATTGAAGCATCTGCTTCCATATCACGAGGAACTTCTATGGACCAACTGTGCCCTTCTTCTTGCAGACTTGTTCCTATATTCGTATGAGGCTGACTTCATACAGGAACTTCTTAGGAATGAAAAAAGAAAATAAGTAAGCAGTATTCTTTATCTTTTCTTTCCGCTAGATGATGTTCTCTCACTAAATAATTCAAACTTTGGTGACTATGTTGAACGCATCTATCCCATAGAACTTGAGATGAAGGATACAACAGATACAGTTGAGTCAGTTTCATATCTTGACTTACATCTACATATTGACAATGAGGGTCGGTTGAAAACAAAACTATACAACAAAAGAGATGATTTCAGCTTCCAAATTGTGAACTTTCCGTTTCTATGTAGCAACATTCCAGCACCGCCTGCATACAGAGTATATATCTCCCAGTTGATACGATATTCTAGGGCTTGTATTTCATACTATGATTTCCTTGATTGAGGGTTGCTGCTCACAAGGAAGCTATTAAACCAAGAGTTCCAAGTAGTGAAATTGAAATCATCTCTTCGAATTTTTACGGACGCCATCACGAGTTGGTTGACCGTTATGGAATTTCTGTTTCCCAGATGATAGCGGATATGTTCCAAATGTCGTAATTACAATCCCGTCGCCTTTTCCTCTAATGTGACCTACTTAATTAGACTTATTACCAGGTTTGAACTAACATGAGCAACGCGACGGGTGCCACATGTGGAGCAGGATCTGTTTACCCTTCCGGAGCACCTAAGATCACCCCAGTTTTTGGTGACGTTCGTGTTGCTCAGTCTTTAGTTTTCTATGTTGTGTTTTATGTACTATTATTTGTTTGTTGGTTTTTTTCTTTTTTAGCCATGGCATAGCCAGTTTATTTTCAACTTATGATAGATATAAGAAGATGTGGTATGAGTTTGAATGTCCCTTTGGTATCTTTCGCCTCTCTTCTAAAACCATTTTTTCTATTCCAAGAGCTTTTGCCCATAGAGTGCTTTTATATAGGTATGACATGTTGGTTTTAATGTTCAGAAGTTATTCATAGATATTTAGAGATAAATTACTCTGAGTAGTTGACTTACGCTCCGGCAGGTTGGTTTTTATGTTTAGAAATTACATAGCTATTTACAGTGATAAATTACTCTGAGTAGTTGACTTACACTCTAGCAGGTTGGTGTAAATGTTTAGAAGTTAATCAAGGCTATTTACATTGATAAATTACTCTGAGTAGTTGACTATCACTCTGACATGCTAATTTTAATGTTAAGAAAGTTATTCATAGCTGTTTACAGTGATAAATTACTCTGAGTAGTTAACTGTCACTCTGGCAGGTTGATTTAAATGTTTTGAAGTTAACCATAGCTATTTACAGTGATTAATTACTCTGAATAGTTGACTTTCACTCTGACATGCTGGTTTTAATGTTTAGATGTTAATCATAGCTGTTTACAGCGATAAATTACCCTGAGTAGTTGACTTACACTCTGACATGCAGGTTTTAATGTTTAGAAGTAAACAAGGCTATTTACAGTGATGCATTACTCTGAGTAGTTGACTTACACTCTGACATGCTGGTTTAAATGTATAGAAGTTAATCATAGCTATTTACAGTGATAAATTACCCTGAGTAGTTGACTTACACTCTGGCAGGTTGATATAGCTCTCTAACGGGAACACAGGCTACTCCAGCAATTGTCACGTTATTTCTTACATCAGCTAATTCAGCACCAAGATTTCTCCCTTTAATTGTCACAATTGTACCTCCATAAACATGGCCCACCATCGGTGATACCTACAACACATACATAATTTCATAATTTCATATACATCGAAACTCTTTAAGTCGAAGCCGAAGGAACCGGACGAAAGTATTCAACTCATCTGAGGTCGAGTGTGTTTTCATAAACTAAGAATGCATGAATCATGGTATGAGATTTGTGTTAACTAAACATTTTGAATAGTGTGCATTTTTTTTTAAATAAGACAATTTATGATTGCCATGTATTCAAGCTCCATATTTTTTTGATCCTTCATTATCACAGAAAAACAGATACAAAACATTCACAAATAAAATCAATACACAAATATTTACAAAGGTCAGTCACTATAAATTATGGAATCATTGAAGAATGAAACAAGTCATGAAGGATCACTGGTGAGGGTTGTTGTCTGTTTTGAATTCAATTGATTCTTTTAATTATTGTTATTTAATGAATTCTATTTTCAACGATTCAATTAATATCGGCTTGGGTCTTTTAAATTCGTTTCATTTTTATATCAGGTGATATATGTTCAGCATACTAAAGTTCCGCTTGGACATTTAACAAAGGTGTTAATTACTGTTTCCCATAAACATGTCGATTTTACTGTTAAACAAACAAGTTTTTTTTTACACAGCTTTAATTACTTATAAAAATGATAAGTTACTTAAGGAAAACATCCAAATTTATATCTGTTTGCATTTTCGAAATTTCTCACTTTCGAACATGGAGACATCGGGGTCAATTTTCATTAATTTTATATCGATGGGACTATAAAATTTATTCAATTTAACCGATAATTCAAATCAACAGAGTTTGACTCACTAGTGGTTGGAATGCATTGGTCAAACAGGAATTTACTGGGACCGAGAAATTACTTTGACTCATGAGAGTTTTTGACGGAACCAAGTTCGACACAAAGAAGTTTGACTGTATCAATTAGTTGTGAATTATGTAAAAATATTCTAAATTTCCATGACAATACAAAAGAAACAAACATAGAAACATGTAGATTTAAGTAAGACATTTCAGTTGAAATCTATATATCTGTCGAAGGAACATTAGATAGCAAGCTCATCTACTTCATGCCAAACATAAAGGAAAAGATAAATTGCCAAATCTCACCACATACCCATCCTAAATAAAATGACAAAAGACCTTTTCACAAAAAATAAAGGTCAAACAAGATATAAACACACTGAAGATAACATTCAGAAAAAATTGCTTCAATTTCCACAATCTAATTAAAATTAAATCTTCGCAGTCGCTCATTTTTTATGCTTGGTCGCTGCGTAGGAGCGACCAAGCATAATAAAATGAACGAATGCGGAGATTCAATTTCTATTAGATTGCAATTTCCATATCTTAATACTGGAGATTCCATTCTCAATTTTATTCATTTATTTTCCTAAGACATAATTTTCATGGTTTGAGGAAAACTTACATTTGGTGGAAATTTGATTTCATGCTCTTGCTAAAGTTTACAAACAAGTCTATAGGAAATTTGTAATTCGCTGAATATTTAAATTTGTGGTTCACCTGTACCCACGGAATCCATGAAAACTGGAATCCCACAAATAATAATGAATTCACAATACGTAAAAGAATCTTTAGAGAGCAAACTCAAATTTTAAGGAGATCATAAGGAAGGGTAGTTCAGAGTTACAACAAAGGAATGTAGGAAGTTTTTGATATCTATGCATCGGAAATAAACACATTTATTCTTTTACCAGTTGTTGGCATGATACGGGTTATGTTCTTGTCGTATACATTATGATGGCATAATACTAAACCCCTATAGTAGGGTGCCCAGTCAACAAATTTGATCCATTTGGGTTAAAGAAATAACACACGGCTATATTTTATATCATTGGAAAGAGGAGAACAAGCCTCGTCGAAATATTGATGTCGTCGTTGCCTACAGTGGTCACGATTTTCTTAAATTTGGGTAAAAGGTTAAATCTAAAATTTCAAGAAAACGTAGAATCACGTTTAGACAGCTGGCCACCCCCACATATTTGCGTTTATAGCAAACGAAATTCGAATAATTCAAAGGATTGTAACTATAGTTTCTATATTTAGGACTAATTTGATAATTTTATTGCCAAATATGGTTCGAGATTAACATTTGTACTTATAAGGTGCACATTTACAATTTTCAATTAGCTGTTAACAGTGACCTTGACCTTTTAAAAGTTCCAAAATCGGAATTTTTACATAAGATTCGATACAAGTGATCTTTAGAGATGTTTTTTAGATATTAACATTTATAAGTTGCCCTCCCAAAATGTTATTTTTTCCGTCTTTTGATAGAATGTGTTCGTCATGATTTTCTGGGTAAATATCCAATTTTCTTTTGGTAAACGTGGAAGCACATCAAATAGTAGTTAGTTCCAAACCTGATGAATATTAACGCAGAATTGATTGAATTAGCAGGTCTGAGTATAAATTTATTTTACAGAAATAAAAAAAAAATGCAAACGGTGAAAAAGGGGGAGGGTTTATGTTACAAGTTATGAAAACAAAATGAGAACTAGAAACAGCAGGCTAATCACTCCATCTTACACACTTATATCAAGTGTAATGTACATGACTTATCGAACATAAATTGGCCTACAAATTGACATGAAGTTAAAGATTATCTAAAAAAAGAAAATTTTGTACAGCATCGATGTATTTTACAAAAACTTGTAAACTCTGATTTCGTTATCCTCATTTGAGATTATGTATAAGAACACGCGAGTTAATAAAGATCAGAATTTTAATAAGAGCGAAACAACATAGAAAAATTGCCGAAGCCAGTAGTAGCTATTACGTTTCATTGTCTACTGTTAAGTTGACAGACCACCGACAAGGTTTAGGTAAGAGAACTTATTTCAGTTGTTCTTTTTTAAATCGCATTCGACGCAAGTAGCAGAATGCGAGGCATACATAATACAATCTGATGGTGGTGGCGGCAACACCGTAAACTATTTGTATAGCTTTATATTTCAGAGGGCAGAGGAACTGGATGATTCATACTTAGTTTATAGATCCATTGTGTTACGAGGTTTCCGTCATATAATCATTATCCTTGACCTCATATTCATGGTTAAGTGACTGCTAAAAAACTGTATAGCTTTTTTCGTCATGTGAATGTCTCAATTATCATGAGTTCTAGGATAACTATATTTGGTTACTAATATGTGGCATCCTTGCAAGGTCTACTTGACCGTCAGACATGATTCACCTGACCTCGACCTAATTTCACGGATCAGTGAATAAGGTTAAGTTTCAGTGGTCAAGTCCGTACAGTCTCAGATAGTAGTTGGTTAAATATATTTGGTGTATGGAATGGTAACAAGGTGTACATGATTTTGTGGCAGAGTTCATCTGACCTTACTTCATTTACATGGAACATTGATAGTGTTAATTTTATGTAATACTTGTTGTATAATATAAAAAATTAGGAGATGTGGAAGCAAGCAATTATAGGCAACCGTATGGCCTTCGACAATGTGAAAAACTCATACCGTATGGTCGGCTATAAAAAGGCCAGTTATGAAAAAAATGAAAGAATTCGTTTGAAAAAAACATAACGGCCTGATTCATAACAAAAGCTAGTTATTACGGTAATGATTTTTATGATCATACTTTTCTCAGACTATTGATGACGTCTTTTCATTAGTTTTCAGTAAGGGAACACCCATTTGATATCAAAAACAGGGAGGGAATGAGGATTTTGAAAATGAATTACTTGGCCTTGTATGAACTGAAATAATTGACTTTGCACTAGACAGGATGAGAATGAACACTCTTCAGCATGAAATGCAGGATAGTTGAGGATATGAATGTGTACAAAAGAGAAAATAACGCCAGCCCCATCCCCTTCTTCAGAATATAAAATGTTCTACCCTAACGGCGAGTACTATTATATCGGTACTTTGTGTTTTTGTCTTTATGTTAGTTGTTTTTGTGCTTCATGCCGATTTGATAAGTCAAGCCATTTCAAACTGTTTTTCAGCAGATTTTTCTTATGCTGTGTTGGTATACCATTGTCCAGGTCAGGGGAGGGTTGAAGGATCACAAACATGTTTAACTCCTCCAAATTCTGTATATGTCTGTCCAAAAGCAGGAGCCTGCAATTAAGTGGTTGTCGTTGGTTATTCAATAAAAAGTGTAAAGTTTTGAAAAACAGAAACAAAACAGATTTCTCCGAACAAAGTGACAATCTACAAAGTTAGCTGACTATTCACAACAAATAAATCAACCACACAACAAGCAAAAAAGAGAAATGTTTTGAGTGACCTCTGTCCTTGTTAATGACCTAATAGTGTAAGCAACAAAATGATTAATGGTACGAGATAATCCGTGTTTAATCAATACCAAAATGTTGACTTAATTTGTGTTTTTAATTGTTAATTTCTTCAAAAAGATTTTTATTTCACGCATGCAATTTGGCACACACATGCACTGTGTCTTATTGCTAAAATCAGAGTAAAAAATAGTGTGATGATACACGTAATTTTTTTGCTTTCGATGTAAATAGGGTAAATTTCGGGTAAAATTTTACTCTTACTAAAATTCTGAAATACTTATATCAAAATTCCTTAAATACTTTCCGATTTCGTTATATGATATATTTAATATATAAACTATATTATAGGTACTGTTTTAACTACCAACAAAGAACGCAATAATTTTATTTTTTCATGTTAAATATTCTCCATACAATACGGTATCTGGTGGTAGCCTGTAAAAACACGAAATTTAGAAAATCGTGACCACGGGAACTTACGACGACAATCATGATTGTAAAATATAATGATTTTCCTATAATGTGCAAAAAAATCAGCCGTGTGTTATCCGTTAACTTAAACTCGTTAACTAGAGGACTTTCTGGACATTGGGCACCCCACTACTAGCGGGAGGGATTGTGCTGGATTTTCATATGATGAAGAGATAATCTTTCAATCAGTTTAAATGAGGTCTGGAGCTGGCATGTCAGTACCTAGTAGTCCTTTGTTAATCTATGTAATCATTGTCATTTTGCTTAGTTTCTTCTGTTATCTATTCTAACATTGGACTCAGACTTCTTTTAAACTGAGTTTTACTGTGCGTATTGCTGTGTGTTTGTTTATTCTACATTGGCTAGAGGTATATGGAGAGGGTTGAGATCTCACAAAACATGTTTAACCCCGCCGCATTTTTTGCGCCTGTCCGAAGTCAGGAACCTCTGACCATGGTTAGTCTTGTATGTTTTTTTTTAATTTCGGTTCATTTATATGTTTCGGAGTTTAGTGTGACATCCATTTTCTATGAACTAGTACATATTTTTGTATAAGGATAGCTGCTGAAGCAGCTGAAGCCCGCCTCCGGGTGCGGGATATGTTAAAGACCCATTGGTGGCCTTGGGCTGTTTTCTGCTCTTTGGTCGGGTTGTCTCTTTGACACTTTCCCTGTTTCCATTCTCATTTTTATTATATTTTTATTAAGTTGAAACCTGGATGATCATTTAAAACTTCAGTTGACTGTCAAATGCATTTTCATATTAAACTAACCTTATCGATCTGTGGACCTGGACACCTTGCAACAGCTCCCACTGCAGAACAGTGATCCTTGTATTCACATTGCAAATGATTGTCACACCATTGACAATTTAGATATGCACGAGACTGCTCAAAATTCCTACACAGACTACAGTCACCATGAGCCATTTTGGAACAGCTGTATATTTTCACTGAAAGTAGAAAATGAACTAAGCTGCATATAATTGTTATGTATTACTATGAATTTAATTTTATGACATTTCTAGCAGAAACTTTTAATGTAAATACTACAATTTTGTAGGATATAGCGTAAAAATAGCAACAATCAACATTCAATCTATCTAGTAGTGGATCAGCATGAAAAATAAAGTGATCTAGCTACTAAATTAAATCATATAAATGCTTAAGCATGTAACTTTAGCACGCTTATGAGTGTTTTATATATCCACGCATTATTTCGCGAAACAAATTAGCTTTATCAGACACTTGCAGCCATCAAGGTAAAACTCAATACTGTTAAGAATATTTTGCAGCTTATCGCATATGTCATTTGAATATATTTTAGCAGCTTATTGTACATTTCATTCAATAGATCAAAACAAATAGATAGTTAAATAGTATGAATTTTAAGATTTATTCCTTTGGATTTTGATAAAACTGTTTTTCATCTCTCTCATTCATCCCATCGGGTTCAAGAGTACGTAGCTGATGCATCCAAAATCTCTCTCTCTGTTTTCTACTTTGAATGTCCCAATATTAGTTGACCTCTACTATTTGAAAGATGATAGTTTCAAAAGTATGTCTTGTTCTGAAGAGGTGTCTCGTGATTGGGCAGTTTCTTTCTTTGGTATAAAATGACCAGAGATTATTAAGTCTGATGTTGAATTTAGTTTCTGTTTCGCCAACATATTGCAGCTTGCAAGTTCCACAAGTAAGAATTTTAATACTATTTTCCGTTTTACAGTTAGATGTTACATGTATGTATGTAACATCTACAGAACTCAAAAACGAAAAGTAGTATTTATATTCAATAATTTTAACAATACTACTTGTTTATGTAAAATAGCTCAGTAATACAGGTAAATTTTGAACTATTCCGTTAATCCAAAATCTTGAACCTCATCAAACATCAGCTTCTAGTATTGTTAAAATTATTGACACTGACGAAGTCTATAAGTTTAGCCAAAATATTTGTCAACACGATTTTACAACATCATCTTTGTATATAACCATCTTATATCAGTACCCTTGAGCAAATCTTTAGACTGATATATATCTATATATATATATATGTTGTGTACAAATTGTAATGTTGTACAAATTATAATTTGTACAGTATTTTTGTACAAGTTATCAGTATTTTGTGAATCTCTTTACATAATTAGATAAAATAAGCACAGTGTCTTTGGTTAAGCTTATCACTGTTTTATTTCCACAACTACATGCTACAGTCTTGCACATAGTACTGACACACAGTTTATATAAAAACACTAAAATATAATTTGTGGACAAGGAATATGGTATTAGACAAAAATAAAAATATAATCTAAACCAATCCGGTGTCCATATTTGTAGTTTTATGACATAGAGGACAGTGCTTAATGTTAGGTTGAAGTATATAAATGTGTGAGTATAACATCGAACTGGATAATTATTGAAGATAAACTTGTATCACCTGGTGAAAGAAGGTGTGTGTCAAAATACTGATAACTTGTACAAAAAACCTGTACAAATTATAATTTGTACGAAATTACAACTTGTACACAACATATATACACATGATTTCTTATGCAAAAGATTCATTGAATTTCTCTACACATTATACCATTAAAAGTTAAGATGAATTTTAAGTATAAAAATATGATAAAAATTGAAAAGTAGGGTTAAACTTTCATATTTAGGTTCCACTATAAACACATATTCAGAATTTAAAAAAAAACGTATGTAAATCGTAAGCTAGGAGTTACTGCTATAAATTTAATTATTGATATCATATCCCACCTGTAGCCCCATCATTTTCTATTTCTGCTCCTCTACCCCATGTCACTCTGAGACTGGCTTCGTAGATACCAATTTCAGGTAGTCCATAAGATTTCTATGAAAAAAACAAAAAAATCTAAATAAATGTTAATAAACTACTGCTCACTCAAAGTCAACATCTTAAAATCAGGAGACTGAAGTCAGTGGTTGTCATTGTTTCATGTCTGTCATATTTGTTTTTCGTAAATTGCTGTGTTATAAATAAGGCAGTTAGTTTTCTCATTTGAATTATTTCATATTTTTCATGTCGGGCCTTTTATAGCCGACTGTACGGTATAGGTTTTTCTCATTGTTGAAGGCCATCCAGTTTTTCTATAATTGCTTAAATCCACTTTTTGTGAACTGTGGTGGATAGTTTTCTTACTGGCAACCTTACCTAATCTCCTTATTTTCATATTCTTAGCATGTCATTATTACCCTTTTTCAACTTTTATATAAATTAATCCAGACTGTTTGTGTACACCAATATACACATTGATAGCTTGGCTACTATCCTTTAATTCAAAAGCTTCTTCTTAGATGTAGATAAAAAAAACTTTGTTGTCCTCTTTATTATTTTAAAAGTTTAATAATGAATAAAACATGCAGATAATATAGAAGCAGTTAAATACATACTAATGGAACCTGACACTTAAGTTGGCTCTCTGACACTCTGGTAGCAATAGCCTCAATGTTCCCATTACTATATTCACCTGTTCCAATTATGCATTTATAACCATTCCCATTCTGTAAATGTTTAAAGTATGTATCATCTTTTTAGTTAACACTGTTTAAAATTAAAAACTAAAAATTAATGAATCCACAGTATATCAATCATGCTGAAAACCAAGACTTTTTAATGTTATAATACTTCAATATGTATTTTCTATATAGAATATGGATAAAATGAACAGTTTCCTAATGAAATGAAACAGTTTCAGGGACTACTTTCCCTAGGCACAATAGTTCCCCAGATGCAAACATCTAGGTGTTGGGAAATAGTGTCTTTGAAAAATAAAATGGCTATATCCCTCATAACTGTAAAAAAATTACTGTATACTGTAAATTCAGGAATTATTGTGTGCATTTATTATTGCGATTTTTGAAGAGTAAACAAAAATGGGAGATTTATTATTGCGATTTCAGGAAAATCTGCATACAGATATATGTATAAGATATCAGAATGTGAGTTCTTATTATTGCTATATTCACCAAGTCGCATTACTCGCATTAATAAAAACTTCGCAATAATTTCTGAATTTAAAGTAATATAATTTGTCTCCCATTAATCAATAAACCAGATACCGTAGCTTACATGTCAGTATAAGGGTGCTGTATACTTTGAAGTATCTTAAGTTGCACAAAAACAAATAAAATAAGGTCAACCTTAGTTCATGGGCAAATAGTTTCGTTCAAATATGGAATGCAAAGTAATTATGTAATAATACTGAAATGCAGTAAGAATCGGCAATTCTGTATGTTGACAATTTCACAATGATGGAACTAAATATCTGTATACTTCAGTTGAACCAAAATGACAAGTAAAATGTCTTGGACTTTCATTAGCATGATGATGCCTCATATGTACCACGTGGTTTGTTTTGCTGATTTCTTAACCTTTGCATTGGCCATCCTTCACAAATAGTCACCATTGCAGGAAAACTTCACAAAATATGCCGACCATCTGGCAAATCCAACATATTTGCTGTGACTCGGACAAATATTTGCCATGTACCAGCACAAATGTTCGGTATCAAAAATGTTTGATCCAATGTTCAGGTGCAAAATTCAAAATAAAAACATGTTTCAACTTTGTTTATGTTACCACGATCATTTTGATATAACCTTAAATATTTTATCTGACAGCTTTTTCTGTTAAACTAAACTTCCACAATTTAACCTGAACAAAAATCTAGAAAATTCTTTGAAAACATTATGATTTTGTGTTTATTTCCTGTAACCATGCACTAAATACCAGATACAGAGTGTAAATCGAAAACAGTATCAGAGAATTCCTTTTTTTTTCTCCGAAAATTTATTAATAACAGATTTTTCCTTAATTTTTTCTCAATCTAACAGATTGTTTTGTTGGTCAGAATGACAGATGAATCATTGTAATTTGTCTGACGAAATGTCTGACAGTCCTTTGATCAATTTCAAGAACTCTACCTAAGCAAGTGTGTTATTTTAACCTATATGGAACTTGGTCCTCAAACCAGAAGTAACCATTTCATTGCCCTTATCTTCATATAACTCTTAACTGTTTTAAACCTTTCTGGAATGTACATATATCACACATTTATTCATTTTAATTTCATCTTTCACAAATAGTATGCATATAAAATGATGAACATCACGCCTAATATCAACAACTTAGAATCTATTAATTACCCCAAAAAATTGATAAATGCATCTTTCAAATTTTCCAAAAATACAGTGAGCGATTCAAATAGCAGACGGCATATGCCTCCCTTTGTTCGAAAATTTATATATATATTTTTGGAAGGGGGATATTATTGTATATTATTAATATAAATAACAATTAACTACATTGGATGTGCCCCTGCATTATACCTTATACTTAGTCTTAAGCATAATTAATACTATTTGTCAACTGTTGATTAATTATTTAATTCTTACTCTAATCTCTGGAAAAGATCTCCCATTGATGTTGAATTCTTTGTTGGTATTGTTGTGTATGTAGACATCACCTGTTAGGCCTTTGTAGATTTTTGGACAAAATGTTGGACCTCTTCTTATTCCATCACCATCTATTTGCTAACAAAACATTAAGAGAACTTATTGAAGGTTAAGAACAGTGTTCTATTTGTATTTTACCCTGAAATAAAAATTCCTTAGAAAGGGAATAATCATTTATACTCCAATTTTCTAATAATTTCATTGTATTTTCAAGTATTGTTTATCACTACATGAAAACTGTCTAGTATGTTTTTATTGGAATCTGTGTGTTCATCAATGTCAATATGCTAATGTCTATATTAATAAGCATTTTTCAATTTTGAAAATTCTTACTAGGCTATTTAACAATAATAGCACAAAGAGGTTGTAGTAAAATAAGTATTTCTTAAAATCACAAAAAAGAAAGAGAAAAAAAGCAGTTTGGATAGAAAAAGAAGTCACTTCAACATGAGTGCTGAAACAACTTAGTTAAGATCACAACTTTAGCTAAGCTTATTTTGATGACAAGAATCTTAAATACAGTGATATTAAGCATAATGTACATTAGTATTTTGAGTTTACATTTGTAGTAATTTTTTCACCAAAGTTCAACTAAAGAAAAGCTCAAATATAATCAAGAGTTTTAAAAGATGATGATCACTTATTATACATCAGAGGATACTGACATTAATACAAGATGAAGACTGAGGTATTGTCCATTTCAGTACTTACTGGATAAATGTACCAAGAGGGTAAAAAGAGGACACTTTTTATATAGAAAATATATATGGTACAAGCTTTATATATATATGATCATAAGCATAAATGGTAGAATTGACTATTCCTGTAAAGAAAAAACAGCTCATACACAAAATTAAAGAATGTATTTTATTTCACACCTTAACTTTTGTTTTGTTCATACTATGAAGTGGATGCAAGGTCTGCACTTAGGACTTTGTGTTCATGATAATTATTTCATAAAAATCTCATCTTGTGAAAACACCTGTGGATTTGAAATGTGTTTTTATACCATAGAAAGTTCTGAAATCCGCATCATTTGCAATCATACCACATTTCCTGACTTTATACTGACCTAATATTACAGATGGATGTTCACTCACAGCTGTCCAATGTTTCATCAATTAGAATGTATTACAAGGTACTTCTTCAGCTCTTATGTTTTTACTCAGCTTGATGGTTATATATTTAGGTTCATATCCCAGACTACTTGGGTTTCTACTGAACATGACAACCACAATTATCGGGAATTTTAATGTACAAGACGTTTATGATTGGATATAGGATGGAGACTAGTTCTACTACTTGGCATGATATTCCATGCTTCTTCAAATTTAGAAAGAATCTTATTTATATTGTATTTCTATTTAGTGAAAGCATCCGTGCAATTTTTAAGTCAACTACAAGTGGTTGTGCTCATTGTATTTCATCTCTTGGTATCAACTCTAAAATACAAGTTAGTATGATAGGGTCTAGATCATAATAAACTTAAAATCAGGCAAAAACATTTCTCACGAAAATTATCAAGCGACAGAACTTTAACAAAACATTTTACACTTTTATTGTTCACTTGAGTTTACAAAACAGTTTATATATGTTCACACCATAACAAACAAGAGCACATAAGCACTACTGAAGCCAGTGAACTAATCTCTGGATCAGATATTTGTATTGGATTTTTCAAGGAAGTGACATAGATGCTGACTCTCAGAAATTGAAAAAAATATAACTGAAAGTTCCATTCGGAGATTCGTTTTTCTTTTTTATTTTATAAGTTGTGCAGTTAAATTTTATAAGCCATGGCGTTGTCAGTTTATTTTGGACTTGTGAGTTTGAATGTCCCTTTGGTATATCTTTTTCTCTTGCACACAACCTTTATGAATACTACGTTGCAGAAGTAAAATGCAAGTGAATACAGCTTTATATATTTATGATACACATTCTTAGCCATATTATAAAGCTTATTGTAAGCAGATATCTTTTTTCTTTTAAATAATACAGGCGAAACTTTATAGAATATCATACACTGTATATACAAATTCAGAACCATGCAGGAACTTCAAATATCAATCAAAATTGATGTAACATTCCTTTATGTTCATCTTGTCCAGAAACAGACGGTTGAAATTAACACCAAATTCCTTGTGTGAAAAGTATATTATAAATGCTCTATTATGCAGAAACTTACATCCACCATTTTCTACATAAGGAAATGCCTGTACCAAGTCAGGAATATGACAGTTGTTTTCCATTCGTTTGATGTGTTTGAGCTTTTGATTTTGACATTTGATAAAAAGTAAAATCACAAAAATACCGAACTCCGAGGAAAATTCCGTTTTGAATTTTCCTTTGAGTTCGGTATTTTTGTTGTTTTACTTTTTACATCTGTGTAGTTAACAACTGTATGGTTAGCGGGATCATATTCAACCATATGTGACAGGTTGAAACAAGATTATACACATTATTTGTTTTCTGCTAGAAAAACCCTTCTCGAATATTTACATAATTTGAATATGTCAAACATGAATATTTCTAAACTTTACATTTTTACTTATCTGAAAAAAAGACTGAATTCATTAAACAGAGTTCTTCAATAAAAAAACTGTAAACAAGGAAATGAAAATAAAAACATGTAACCGATATTCTACAAATAATCCCTAATTTGTGTGTATGTAAAGGTCTTGTAAACTGTGAACAACAATTATATAATTTAATTGGATTATCTTTACTATAACAAACTTTTTGGTATTTATGTAATATAGATACAATGAATAAGCGTTGATTCTTGAAAAAGAAACCATGAGCCCGGCGGGCGAATGATTTGTTTTTCATGAATCAACGCTTATCCATTATATCTATAACTTAAACTATTGTGTTAATGTGTTTTCAAAATTAAAGTTTTTCTCAATTAGAAGGTATTGTAAGTGAGTTTAAATAACCATGGTATCATGTTCAACGATGCATTAAAAAACATAAGATCACAAATAACTGGTAAGAAAAATACAAATATAATACAACACGTCTGCCTTTAAATTATCAGGCATCTGAATATTATCTGTGTTTACAAAATAAGACATATTCGAACTTACTTCTAATAAAATTGAGAATGAAAATGGGGAATGTGTCAAAGAGAAAACAACCCGACTAAAGAGCATATATAAAGTATAAGTGTGTTACCGAAATTTCTAGCAAGAAGCCTAATTCTTGGCACATCACGATTTACTCGCATAGGAATTTGCGAATAAACATTTGTAAAATTATGTAGTAAAACAGATGAAATCTTACTATATTTATAAAACAAAAATGGACAAATTGGATGTAATCATTATAACAAAAATATCTACATTTACATACAAAATAAGAAAAAAAAACAGAAAAACTAAAAAATAGGGTCAACAAAGAGAATACAGGGATTCGAACCTAAACCGACAAGTCCCTACCTTTAACTTGACTCTTTAATTCATTGATCTTAACCATGCTCACCTCGCGGCTACCAACTTATACTATACGATTGCCTATTATGTATATATAAAGGTACAAGCTCTGTGTGTCCGTTGTATGTCATATGTTCATTTATATATATAAAATAGACATTTAAATTGTAACCAATTGATAGCCGAGAGGTTTCGTCGATATGTTGATTTCAGTCACACATAACAGATTTCAAGGACGGGTTCGATTCCCAGTGGAGGCATATAAAAATTACAAAAATTAAAGGTAAGTTTTTAAATTAATTCCATAAGTGAACAGAAATCAGTAAATTAGCTAATTCAAACTTAATGAAATTAGGCACACAAAGGAAATAATTGAATATAATTTGGTGAATCCATTTCAGCGACAGATTTGGAAAGCGTTGATTCTAGAAAAAGAATCCACGGTAAATGAATAGACTGACGTCACGACAATGGTTTAAGTTATATAGATACAATGGATAAGCGTGGATTCTTGAAAAAGAAACCATGAGCCCGGAGGGTGAATGGTTTGTTTTTCATGAATCTACGCTTATCCATTGTATCTATAACTTAAACTATTGTGTTAACTTCTTTTCAAAATTAAATCCTTTTCTTAATTAGAAGGTATTGTAAGTGAGTTTAAATAACCATGTTATCGTGTCCAACGATGCATTGATAAATCTCAGATCACAATTAACTGAAATATAATACTTCTACCTTTAAAGATCTTTATATTACCAGGCATATGAATAGTATCTGTTTATACAAAATAAGACATATTCGAAATTATTTCTAATAAAATTGAAAATGGAAATGGGGAACAAAGAGACAACAATCCGACCAAAAATCATATATAAAGTATATATAATAAGTATGTTATCGGAATTTTTCTAGCACTTTAGGCACATCACGATTTTCTCGCATAGGAATTTGCGAACAAACCTTTGTAAAATTATGTAGTAAAACAGATGAAATCATACTATATTTATAAAACAAAAATTGACAAATAGAATGTAATATTTTTTTGTTTCAAACATGAGAAATAGCCAATAATAATTAAAAAAAACGGTAAAACTCGCTATTATTTCAAAAATATCCACTATAACATGCAAAATTAGAAAAAAAACAGGATAACTTAAGAATTGGAACAACAGAGAGAATACAGGGATTCGAACCTAAACCGACAAACCCCTATCTTTAACTCATTGATTATAACCATTCTAACCTCGCGGCTACCTACTCATAATATGCGACTGCCTATTGTGTCTATATAAAGGTACAAGCCATGTGTGTCCGATGAACCGATGTATATCAGATGTTCATTTAAATATATAAAATAGACATCTAAAGTGTAACCCATTGGTAGCCGAGAGGTTTCGTCGATGTGTTGATGTCAGTCACACATAACAGATTTCAAGGAAGGGTTCGATTCCCAGTAAAGGCATATAAAATTTACAAAAATTGAAGGTAAGTTTTTAAATTAATTCCATTAGTGAACAGAAATCAGTAAATTAGCCAATTCAAACTTAATGAAATTAGGCACACAAAGGAAACAATTGAATATAATTTGGTGAGTCAATTTCATCGGCAGATTTAGGAAGCGTTGATTCTAGAAAAAGAATCCACGGTAAATGAATAGGCTGACGTCACCACAATGTTTAAATAGCTAAACCAAACACATTTAAATAAGTCAAATCATTTTTCAATTTTTTGAATATCAAATTTCCACGAACAACATGAAATATACCGATGTATAAACAGATTACCAAGGGAATAAATATAAAATTAGATACACAAAAAATGTACTATATATTCAAATCCTTGATAAATTTTCAAAATAGATTTGTATTTGTAATTCATTGATTGTTTTTTTTTTTCTTTTTTTTTTTACTGTACTAGCTTAACAAGTTAAAAAAAAACCCACATATACATTGTATACATTGGGTCTGTGGACAAACATACATACACATCATATATAAATGTGGTTTTGATACATACATTACGGCTACAAATAGACTGTCTATTGCAAGGGGGGTTGGTCCTGAAGGTACACTTATTCTCATAGATACACCAGTTACACCCATAATTATTATCTGTACATGATGTGCAACTGAAATGTAAACAAATCAAACAATAAATTCAACTTCAGAGAATGCCAATATTCTGGTCATTTCCATAGCATAAACTTTTACTACCTTCTTCACAGCATTAAACAATCAGTTGTAAGACAAGCTTCTTACTGTTTTAAACAAAGGTTGAACACTCCCATGAAGTAATGCTTTGTCCTTGTATACATTAATTTAAAATTTCTTTTCCAAATGACAATAAATATCTTACCCCTGACACTTGCAGTAACAATCTATACAGCAAGTACTATTGATTTGTTATTTTCTTGCTGTTTCATAGTTGTATAAGACCTTACATCTTCTTTTATTAACATACACAAGTATAAAATATCATTTCATGGACAAAACTGAATCTACGGTCGAATTCAAAATTGGTTAGACTCTTTCCAACATTCAAGCTTTTCCAAATAAACTTATTTTTTTTCTTTACTATTTAATCAACATTAACCCAAATAATTTTCTGTTTGTAAATTATATATTAGTAACTGATTGATAAATTGAACTGAATTCAATACAAAAGAATAATTGGAAGAGAGATTTTAAATGTCTATATATTTAGTAAATTTTCCTGGATATTTCATCCTGATACTACCTTGTAAAACTTCCACAATTATAAAATGTGAAGTATCTTGACACAAATAGCTTCTTTGATTCTTCTGATCGTATTAATAATGTGGCATTCTTGCTGCCTGAAATGATTAGATAATTCCAATACCAAAGTTATGCTTTTTATAGATATTTCTGAACGCTTCATCATATTTCCAGCTTAAAATGTAATTTAAAGCAGTATTTAGAAGCCTTTTTTCTACTTATGCTGGATAGAATGAAATTTCAATCATTCTCAAATTTGATTTCAAACATTAATAGTAAATATATTGTGAAAACTAGTGTCTTAAGACAAATTCGAAAAAAATATATAAAATTCAAGATGAGGCTTTAATATAATGGTTGGGTGTATGTTTAATGTACAACATCAAATATTTTATGCATCTTCAGGATATATAATGTTAATGTGATACGAATATGTACCATACTTTGTGGTTGACTGACAGACTGGGCCAGTTTTTAAATGTGCTAGTTCACTAGGTACGTCCACAGGAAGGCAAACTATACCACCAAGACATTGTATTTGACTTAAGAGTCAACAAGTCTTTTCTCTAGCTCTTTACTGCAGTGTGCTAAGTGGAGACGAAGCAAATACCAATTTGATGCTATAATAAGAATGGCAAAATTTCAGTTTTTAACAAACCTGTAGGTTCAAAGTCTACACCAAGAGAAAATATCTGAGGAGTTTTACAGCTGATACCAAAGCTCCAGAATCTAGCAGGAGTGGCTTGTTGTTTGTCACCAAAGTCAAACACACAGCTATAGTTTGTATTACGTGGTATATCTATGATTGCCATGTGCAGCTGAAATCATATATATTATATATATATATATATATATATATATATATATATATATAATTATCATCATATAAGTTATACAAGTGTAATTCAAGAAATACACTTAGTGAAGTGTTGACAGAAAATCTGTTAATGTTCCTCATTCACAAATTCCATAGACTGGGGATAGTTTAATGCTATTCATATATGCATAGACACCTGACTATTGTTGAAGACTGTGTGTTCTTTAGAATAGTGTCTCATTGACCTTATCGCCACATCTTTTTTTATTCATAATAGTATTTTTTCTGCATTGGAATTAGTCCAACTTTTTTCTTATCAAGCAAGAACTGTTAAGCAATTTTAAAAAAATCTAAAATTTAACTTGTAACAGGCTATTATTTGAACTTTCTTTTACACAGAAGATAGTACATTTTCAATAGAATGTACTGTGCCGTGTACAACACTATCTATACGTAATACATTTTATGGAAAGTGTTATGAACCGCTCAAAACATTATAATACCAAATAAACATGGAATTTATCAAAAATTCCAAGCACAAGAAATTATGCAAATTCCATAATTAAAAATAATTCCAAGTTCAAATAATAGCCTGTTTTGTGTAAATAAATACCATTTCATGGACAAAACAATGTTTTGCACACAATATATTTCTATGATTTTCCACTAATTTTAGTTGGGTAAATTTTATATTGAACTTCTACATTTAAGTGGGATTGTAAATGCATCTGACATTTTGTCATTTTGCTGAGAACAAAATTATGATCAGCAATAAGCAAGGTTAAATTAGTTACATATACTAATTAATTGCACATAAATATTGACAATTTAAGCAGCATTAACCAGGTCAAGAAATATATCAACTATGTGCTCCTGTCTTTTCTACAGTCAAAGAGAGACCACACTGATATACATTTTGTCAATTCTTCTTTTTTTGCTTGTTTGCAAAAACCTGAATACTTTTAATTTTTTTAATTTAATTTTTTCAATATTTGTTATCAATTATAGATAGATGCATGCAAAAAAGATCTCTCCTAGACTTCACATTTTAACAAGTAAGCATAGTTACCGTAATATCCTCTGTTGAGGAAGCCATTGGTGGAGAGATGTTTTCAATAGCAGTACAGTTAGTCAGAATTTTCCATCGGTCTGAGCTTTGGTCTGCCATGGAACAGTTTGATTTCAAAGTACATCTTAAATATTCATATCATTGAATAAAACCAATCATATTTAACAGAAAAATGGAAGCAAATTGTACTTTTAATAATCATATAAAATAAGTGACAGTGAATACTTTTATCAACATGAAAAAACATCATCCTTTGATCAATGGCTTGACTTGATTCAGTTTAAGTTGAGTATACTATTTCATGATTGAAGTATTTTTGGAACAATGGAGATAAACAATGATTACTTATAGACGCAATAGTTGTCTTTAAGCAGAAGTAATTGTTTTTGATAATACTGGTGATAATCATTTGGAATCAAAATAAGATATTGATTTGTTTGCCTCTAGACTAAATTATTAAGTCATTAGATTTATCAGTTTGACCCTTTGGATTAGGCTGTTGCTGCATTTACATCTTACGTTTACCAATCTTTCAGAGTATAAGATATAGCTTCCCAGAAAATATTTCCCATTACTGAAATTTTGTTTAACACTATACTTTGTAATGAACCTGAAAAAAATTCAATCTCAAACAAGCAAGATTACTGAATGCACCCATTGACCAAGAAACCCAACTATTGATTTGTATAGACGGGTTAATCCATAATTGACTTAGAAAACATGGCCGCATCCATTAACTTCTCACGTGACCGATCAGCGACTACAACCGTGAAAAATAAGGCACGTGTATTGATCAAACATTATCGATTTTCTGTTTACATTTATATTTCTTTCATTTTCTTATTTATTTTGCTATGGATACTGCCGAAAGTTATTAAAAAAAAGGTGGAGGCATTTCATGTGCAGTTAATAATTGTACAAATAATCGTAAAAAACTTCAGATGTAGAAAAAATCAATATGTAAATTACACAACGAGTTGCACATGTTTGATTCCATATAAGTCTCATTTGATGCCTTCTGACGAGCCAACAAAACTTGAGTTGATCAAAGTTATAAACAGAAAAACTTTGCATAAACAGTTATTTGTATGGTCCGGACATTTTTTTTCTGGTTGGTGCGCCGACTGCACACAATCCGGTTTTTTTAAATAAGACTTGTTATGACAGTAAAATTACACTGGCAGACGAATGTTGACACGACGTGAAACGACAGTGAAAAAACTTTAATAAATCTATAAAAATTAATCCGATGACTACAGTGCATCTGCCTCTTTTTGTATAGAAGATCCACACATCAGATGCGGATCAAGGATTTTCAAAAGAGGGGGGGAGGGGGTCGGTCCCCCAAACTAGACAAAATTTGTAGTGGAAGCGGTAAAAAGTCTGGATTAACCATAAAGGAATCTCCATAAGGGGGGCCAGGCACCGCTCATAAATCCTTCCCTGCACATTTCTTTAGATAATAACAATAATTGAAACCTTCCCCGAGGCTACATGTAGTTTTAATTGTAGGCAAATCAACCCAGTATGAAGAGACGAGCTTTTTTATTCATGACGACTATCTTTATGCTGCAAAATTGAGAGACATTCCGACAACATCAACCAAATATTGTTAACAGAGGTGTAAAGAGTTCAAAATTAAATAAAAGGGAGGAACCACGTCCGCGTATAGAAATATTATGAATGATAGTGACGCCTTATTGAATACTTATGTAACTAATTTTCTTTACTTTAGTGGATTTACTACACAATTTTAATTTTCAACTACGATATTGCAGATCAGCTGTTGCTCGATCGTACTGATGAGGTTAAATAAAGGCAACAGTAGTATACCGCTGTTCGAAACTCAAAATCGATAGAGATAAAAACAAATCCGGGTTACAAACTAAAACTGAGGGAAACGCTTCAAATATAAGAAGAGAAACTTAGTTTGATATTTGGTTATTTGGGACGGCGCTTCCATATTTCGAAAAGTAAGGCTTGTAAAATATTTTATTCCTGGTTGCCAGTTCTTGCTGAAAACCTTAAAGGTTTTACAAACAGCTGCATCCATAGACAATTCCCAGCAAAACTTACTATTAAGGGCCCTTCCCTATAAGCCTCGTCTTAATGGTCCATATATGTAGGCCTGTGTGCTTATAGTATGTATTCACTTTACTTTCTTTATACAACGTATACAGTAACTTCTGTTGAAACTTACTTTGAACTTTCCTCAGTAGACATGGTAGAATATTCTGTGCATTAAATATATAATTTTACACATTAGAAAGGATTTTTCAAAGGTCTTGGTAATCAAATAGTTTACTAGAACCTACGGAAGCGTAGCTATAATCCGACAACCCGCCGAAAGTTCAGTAGTCCGACGGTCCGATATTCATCCTTAATTTAATACTGTAATACTGTATTTCACTGTGTTATATACATTCAAGGATTTATAAAAGGGTCTTTTATAGATTCAGGATGAAAATATACGAGACATCTGTTTTTGGATGGTGGAGAGGGGAGTTGGCAAAACACTAAATGACGCTTGTAAAACAACTAATCATCGCATTGAATTTACACGTTGGAGTCTTTTGTGGTTAAATGACATTCATTTATTTTAAGCATGGGCCGGTCGGAGCATGATGTTATACTATGCATACTTGTAGTTTTATGTCGAGTAATTTTCTGCAAAAGAAATTGGAATCGAACACCTAGTAAATATATGATTACATGGGTCGTGAAAGTTCAAAACTTCTTCAGCCCATTTTAATCGCAAAGTTAAGTCTACATATGGCCCGACGCATCAATAGCATATAACGCAATTCATGCGGAGACAAAAGTAATACGAAAACGTCACTCAATTTTGAGCAGTATACGTGAGTCGAACCACTAGCACAAAACTCTCGTCTCTGTTAAAAAGTTTATCATCAAACGGTACATGTCTATAGGTATATTTTTCAGCAGACACAAGTAACCGCGCGTCGGAGAAAACGGGCTGTCGAATTATTGGACCGTCGGATTAGAGGATTGTTGAATTTTAGGACTGTCTGATTATAGGTCTGACCACAGAAATTTCTATGATTTGATAAAATTGCACCTGGTTTTTCTGATAAAAAAAACATTCGACCCGACAAGAAAATTTAGTTTTATTTATAAATGTGTTATAATAATCAATATTATGATTACCAAATGATTATAATCAATATGTTACCTGGTATTAGTATTCGTATATATTATGTCCCGTGTGTAACGTATCAAGTACAGTCATGACATTTATATTTTAAGGACACAACACCTGGCCTGCAATACACTTATGATTTTAATGTCCATTCCTTATCTTATTACTTTATTGTTTATAGCATTTATAATTTTGCCGAGGTCAAGTATGCCTTCACATTCTTGTGTTTACGTTAAATATATGTGGTCTGGGAAATAGATGTATATCTTGATTATATTCTTTTCACGGTTGTAATGCCGATCGCTACTACGACGACGCCTATGAGTCGAGTCACAAACTAAGGCAGATAATCGGAAAAACCTGTCTATAGAGTCCGGGAAAATGAGATAAACAACTAATGTACAATTTCAGTTCTTATGAAATCCTGTAATAATTCAACGAATAAACAATATAATACTTATAATAAAAGAATGGGTAAAGTTTGCTACAATAATGTTAACACTTTCCATTGTTTTAGACTTTTTGGCCAGTTTAGTCTGCACATAATATGGACAGCATGCATTAGTTAAAAGATTTATGCTAGAGTTATATACTATTAAACATTCTGTACCTAGATATGAACATAATTGGAATGGGGATTTATTTTTGGTTGGATTTTGAAACCTGGGTTCTAATGATGTTATTTCCTAAAGAATCCTACTTACAATGTAGTTTTGTTAGGTACCTTGTGTTTAGGACAAAGATGTTAAAACACACTATCAATTATTTTCATATAAGTAAACTACTTAAACCTATGGAGAAGAAGATCTAAGTTTGAATAACTTGTGTTTAATCCTTTTTGAGATATTTTGCAAATAAAATATGATTAAACTTGAACCTATTGTTTTTGATGAAACAATGTGTATTGTTTAAACTGTAGATGTTTATTTGCATAAAGAATCCGAGTTATAAGTGGAGATATTGATACCTTGTCCATGCGGATTACAAGTGTGTTTAAACTAGGAGGCATAGACATCTCATAGGATATGATAAGCTTCAACATGACAGCATTTAAAACTGGTATTCAATTGAAAGATATAATTAATTGTGCAGACTTAACTTCTTGTGGCACATTTGCTAGGTTTTAAACATAACATCACATAGTTATGGGCTTAATGTTTTGTTATCTCACTTGGATATTAGAGGTATCATTTGTGCTGTTGTGTAACATTTTTACGAGTGTAGTGGATTAGCTTTAAACATCTAACAGGGTCTGTTTTGTAAGATATTTTAAAAAGAAAATGATACTTACTGATATTCAGAAATATTATTTAATTTTTCAATTATTTTTAATACATGTATAACCATATTTGAAAAGATCAGTTATATTTCAAATTGTGTTCCATAAAAGCATGTTATATTACCTAGTTTCTAAGGTACACCAGCCACAAAATGGATCTTTACTGGCTAAACATGTCGTACAACTGGCATACTGTCCACAATTTTCTACAGATACCTTCGCAACCTAAAAAGTTAATTTGAAGAGTCAATCCACACATGCAATTTCAGAAATTCTTGATACAATCAACTGGTTTTAGATATGTGTATAAAATAAAATTACAATTTCAAGTAGGAATTCTTACGATCAAGATTGTATGATGGAATCAAAATGTACATTTAAATGGTGGTTAAATATCAAAACTGCCTGTAAGACATCCATATACACTGAAATCTAACTCTTAAGTCATGTAAGGTTACAAGAGCGAAATTATTCGTAATGGGTTTTCCTTAGGGTACCAGTGGTGTTCCATATTGTATTTCTTAAAGACTACACAAACTTGAAAAAAACGGGTAGCAGTTACCGTTACTAGAACTGTCAGCGTTGTATAACAGCAAAAAAAATGCATATGCTCATGTAGCAAAAGTTGACTTAAAATGGAGTTGAAAAACTAAGTCTAATTTTTTTTTTCGCTTGGTGAAAAAAGCAATTTTGTAATGGCTCCTACGTACAGAAATCTAAAATATTTTCTTTACTTTGTACACTATGAATTTGATTTTCTGGATTTTTTAAAACCTAAATGAACAAGCTTTCGATTAAAAGTATTTTCAATCCTGTATATTCAGTGTAAGCAGCACATGATTCTATTCTGAGTATCATTTTGGATTAACAAAAATTCCGGTAAAATATAAACAAATAATTGGGCTCTTGTGCTGAAATGACATCTTTTTTCTTCTAAACACAGAGGAGAAAAATGATATTGCTTACAATGTAGTTTTGTTATGTACCTTGTGTTTAGGTCAAAGATGTTAAAACACACCATCAATTATTTTCATATAAGTAAACTACTTAAACCTATGGAGAAGAATATCTATGTTTGAATAACTTGTGTCTAATCCTTATGTCTAATATTGCTTTTTTGAAATAAAGTGGTCAACTACCAACATAGTATATGTTTATTTAACATATACTATGTTGGTAGTTGACCACTTTATTTTATTTACTGATGGGGGAAAAGCCCAAAAAGTATTTAAAGTTTGGTCGGATTGACAAACATCAAGGAATACAAATTTTGGAGAGTTCAAATTTCAGCATACATCATGGGTTTAAAGAAAGTGGTATAGAAGGTGACAGCCAAGAATACCTACCAATCTCTGACTTGTTAGATATAGATTTCTATGGTCAAAGTCATAGAATGTATCCTGGTTTATAGGACTTCCCTTGTCTATGACCAGGTCTTGGTCATATTCTTTTGCTAAAGTCTTGTTCTCTATCACGATCTACAAAGTCGAACAATATAAATTAGTACATTGCCATTTAACATGCATGTCAAGAAAAATATAAATAATTTCAACATTCTAGATAAGGAAGTATTGTAAAGTGCTTTATTTTTGTCGTATCCAAACCAATTAGTGAGTTATAATTTCATGTTTTACTTGTTCCTGGTTCTGCTCTTCCTTAAAATTCAGGAAGGAATATACTTCTTTTAATATTAACTGCGAAATTAGCAACAAAAATAAACATCCTTGTAAATATTCACTATTTTATAGAGTTAAAAGAAAACAGTCGAAGAAAACAATATCATTTCATTATTTTTTTTGAGATCGTCACAATATGCATACAATTCCTTTTTTTTTTTTTTTTTTTTTTGTTTACGTTTATATACTATCAATAAAAAGAACAGACTGAAAAAGTACTGGAGCTGAATAAAAAGCTATGGATGCAATAGGGAATTTAAATACCGATTCTGTACTTTTATTTCACTATTTACTCTCATCATAATGATACAATTATCTTTGGTTTAATGTTATTTGATTTAATTTTACTGGATTTTATTCTGCTGAATTAAATCCTAAAATAACAGGTGTTTGAAGTCCATGGTCGATTTCTCCTTTAAACTTCAAGATACTATATTTATGTTGAAAGAAGAGAAAATTAGATAGCAAAACTAAAATAACCCAATCTCACATTATAAAAATAAAAAAAAACCTCAAAATAAAGAATGGGCTACGCTGCTTTAGGAAGATGCGACATCACCTTGTCAAAAGCATGAAACAGAAAACATTCATTTGGCAACTTTGTTGCAAACATTGCTTAAAAATTTTATATTTCAATTTCATTATACTTTCAAAAAGGAAAAGATGCAGGAAGGGTCCTATTCGGACCCTTATACATTATAAAAAGTCCATGATTTCAAGATAAAAGTGTTTCAAGTTGATGCTTAAACATGTAAGAAAGTTTTGAAGAACAATTTTTGTAAAGTTTTTCATATAAAACATTTACACCCAAATTAGAACAAAACATCACTAACATATTCAAGTCAGATAGGTTTTCAGGTATAAAAAACGTCATGATAAAAGATATTATTGTCGACACATGGAAAATGTTGTTTGTACTGTATTTAGACCCCTCTACAACGACATTTGTTTTACATGAACACGTATAAAAATTGCGGTTTTTAACCAACGCAATCATAGGTTTGAGTGTTGTTTTCAATTTAGACATGTATATATTTATTTCGTTTGGGCTTGTATTATGTTTTCCCTCTGGTTTATATAATCCGTTCATCCTATTTCGACTCTTTAAAATTCAAGAGTCTATCCTAAATTGAGGTAAATTATATGGCCTTCCAAATACTTTTCGATCCCTAACATCACTGAAGAGACATTAATTGTCGAAATCCGGATATGGTGTACAAATTTTAGCACCTCATGTTTGTGGTTTACCATCTTTGCCGCAAGTTTATTTTTTTCTATTTGGTATTAAATTAATATAAAGATCCACTTTGTTACATCTTGTGATCAATTTATTTCGCAATCGCCAATGGCAGTCAGCAGGGTTTAAGAACATCAGTTGTTCGACCTGTTAGTCAAATGCGTTATGTTAAAACATACTTTTTTCACTTTTTGGTCTTTTGGAAAATGTTTTTTGTGCTGTATTTAGACCCCTCTACAACAAAATTTTGTTTTACATGCACATGTATAAAAATTGCGGTTTTTATCGACTTGTTTATATATATATGTATATATACAAGTCTAAATTGAAAACAACGTTCAAACCTATGATTGCGTTCTTATACAGCACAAACAACATTTTCCAAAAGACCAAATGAGTGAAAAAGTATATTTTAACAAAACGCATTTGACTAGCAGGTCGAACAACTGATGTTCTTAAACCCTGCTGACTGCCATTGGCGATTGCCAAATAAACGGATCACAAGATGTAACAAAATAGATCTTATTATTAATTAATTACCAAATATATATATATATATATATATATATATATATATATCTGATTATAAAAACAAACAGAATTTGCCCTGTTTTCATTGAATTTAGATAAATAATAACATACATTTTTTTGTCTTTGTAGTCATTTTTTTAACTGGGAATTGTGATACTCAAAATAAAAATTTGGATTAAAACAAAAGGCTCTAAAGCGACTGTGTCGCTCACCTGCATTTTCAACAATGGTATTTTTTTAGTAAAAATCAGCATGAAAGGGGAGCAACTCTATCAAGAGTTAACTGACAATTTCAGTAATGTTGACATATTTGTAGATCTTATCCTGCTGATAATTTTTACTTTTTCAAAATTTCTATTTATCTATCATAGTTTTCAAGATAATAGGCAAAATTGCAAAAATTTAAAAAAAAATACCATTAAAGGGCAATAACTCCAAAACGAGTCTACCTAAGATATCAGCCATTTTGCTCATTTGTTGATCTTGTGTTGTTGATCATTTGTGTTATTTTAAGTTTTTATCTATCTATAACATTTTCAATATAATAGCCAATAATAGGGAAAATCGTCACTAAAGAGCAATAACTTCAATACGGTGTCGACTAACCATTTTGGTTATGTTTGACTTATTTGTAGATCTTGTATTGTTAATCGTTTTTGTTTAATATTGTTTCTATTTATCTGTTATAGTTTTTAATGACAACAACGCAAAAAAATGAGTAAAATTCGTCATTAAAGGGCAATAACTCTAATAAAGAGACGTCTGAAGATTTTGACCATGCTGACTCAGTTGTAGATCTTGTTTTGCTGATCATTTTTGCTTTTTAAATTTTCTGTCTATCTATTATAATTTTCTGGACAATAGGAAAAAAATATTTAAAAAATGGCAAATTTCGTCATTTGAGTCGTCTTAAAGTTTTGACGCCAATAGACAATAAGTAGAGCTCAGCATTCTTAACGTTTTTGCTACTGTCAGAATTTCTCTATTTAAAACTTGCATTTTATCCATTTGTTCTTTTTTTAGCCATGTCAACCATCTTGGTTGGCAGGCGGTGTCATTGAACACATTTTATAAACAAAATAACCCAATGATGATTGTGGCCAAGTTTGGTTAAATGTGGCCCAGTAGTTTCAGAGGAGAAGATTTTTGTAAAAGTTAACAGACGATGACGACAGGCGACGAACGCTAAGTGATGAGAAAAGCTGACTTGGCTTTTAAGGCCAGGTGAGCTAAAAAGGGGTCATGCTGTGGTCTACAAAGAAATGTTACCTTTTTCAAGTGTCCATTTGATGTACCAAGGAAAGCTACAGTGAAGTTAGAAGTTGTGGTAAGTGTAACGGAAGTCAAAGCAGTATATTCAAATACAATGGCAGGTTGCACTTTAACACCAATCACTCCAGATATTCTTCCTCCGTAATAATTTTTCGTGGTAGTGCACAGTGTAGGTCCGCTTCCTTTTACTGATCCCTTTTGCAATAAAATGACAAAAATAGATATTTGAGTACACATATAAAACAACTTCATAGTAGATTTTTAAGAGAAAATAGTAAACTTAAACTATCTTTATATATTGCAGCTAATCTCATCCATACATATATGACATAAAGAACACTGAAGTTGTGAGTTCGATTCCCACAGGAGGCAGGTACGCTCGACTCCAATCTTGATTGAAAAGAATTGTCAGTTTTCCTTCCAAAGGTCGTTGGTTCTTTCCCAGCACTCCAGATTCCTCCACCAATAAAAACTGACACCATGAAATAGCGCAATAGTGTTGAAAGTGGCGTTAAACACCTATCAATCAATCCATACTTAAAATGGCAGTCGAATATGTATGTTTAAAAATAAAATCCAAATAGACTCACTATTATACCGCCGTTTTATGTATTCAGTTAACTAGAAGTTGAAGAGCAATGGATAGAAAAATGCACCAAACGGTATTGCATGTCCACATGAATCTTGATAACAAATTTCAGACAGCTCTAATTGTAGTTCCTTAGAAATTTTCAAAGTTGAAGAGGGGGGGGGGGGTGAATCTGGATGCATCACACATTATAGCATGCTTGTACCTATTTATCAAGTTAAGCCATTTCAAACTGATTTTTACAGTTTGTTCTTATGTTGTGCTGTTACACCACTGTCCCAGGTTAGGGGAGGGTTGAGCGCTCACAAACATTTTAAACCGAGCCACATTCTTTAAGTGCCTGTCCCAAGTCACGAGCATGTAATTCGGTGGTTATTGTTGGTTCATGTTTGTCATATTTGTATTGTATAAATTTGGGCAATTAGTTTTCTTCGTTTGAATTGTTTCACATTTGTCTTGACAGCTTTTGTATACAACATGAATATGACTGTACAGTACGAGTTTTTCTCATTGTTGGAGGCTACACGGTGATCTATAATTGCTTTTATGTCGGTCATTTGAACTCTGATTTATAGTTGTCTCATTAGCAATCATACCACACCTCCTATTTTTTATAAATGTATCACATTAAGGCTGAGATAAAATTTCGGGACGTTCTTATTTGTAGTTCCCTAATAATTGCATCAAAAATTTCATACATCGCCATTAATTGTTAAAAATTTAAGTATGTTGAGGAGGGCTGAATCTCAAATAGCATCACACAGTATAGCATGCTCACATTAATATAATCAACATTGCATGCTAATTAATTCAAAGTCGCTGGACCAGCTAGTGGTTACAAGAGCGCAATTATTCGTAATGCATTTTCCATAGGGTACCAGTGGTGTTCCGTATTTTTTTTCTCAAAGACTACACAAACTAGGGAAAAACGGGTAGCAGTTCCTGTTACTAGAAATACCAGTGTTGCATTACAACTAAAAAAATATATATGGTCATGAGGCAAAAATTGAATTAAAATGCAGTTGAAAAAGATCGTCTATTTTTTTCGCTAAATGAAAAAGGCATATTTTTAATGGCTCCGACGTGCAGAAATGGAAGATATTTTCTATACTTTGCAAAATGTGAATTTGATTTCCTAGATTTTTTAAACCTAATTGGATAAGCTTTCGATTAATAGTAATTCGAATTCTATATCATCCAATCAGAAGGCTTACAGGATTCTATTCTGAGTACCATCTTGGGGTAAAAAACTGGCCGGTTAAATGTAAACAAATAATTGCGCTCTTGTAACCTAGTGGGTAGGGCTTCAAAATGGTTGACAAATGAGATGTACATACAGCAATGTAAATTTATAGAAAATATTGTCAATTGTAAGTAGTTCCTATCAATCTATACTAAGCTGAAAACTTAACATTTAAAATTGATAATTAAATCAAAGTCCCTGGACTATCGCCTACGGGGCAGGGCCTCAAAAGTGTCGTCAAACTGATATGTACTGATAGTAATGCATCTTCATACAAAATATCAATGATCTTTACAAGTATTTCCTATCAAACTAACTTAAGCAGAAAACTTAACAATTGTTGACGCCTTCACCGCAGCCGTAGCCGGAAAAGCAATCCCTATGTCTCTCAGGCGAGACAATAAAAATAAGGAGATGTGGTATGATTGCCAATGAGAGAACTATCTACCAATGTTCAAATGAAGTGGATGTAAGCAATTATAGGTAGCAGTACGGCTTCAACAACGAAAAAATCCCATACCATATAGTCGGCTATAAAAGGCCCCGGCTTGAAAATATATGAAACAATTCATTTGAGAAAACTAACTGCCTGATTTATAACGAAACAATTTATGAAAAACAAATATGGCAGCCATGAACCAACGACAATCAGTTAACTACAGGATCCTGACTTGGGACAAGTACATACAGAATGTGGCAAGGTTAAACTAGTTTGCTGGCGCCAAACCCTCCAGTTGCATAATATGGGGCTGATACCAAATTTCATGAAGCTCTGAATTGTAGTTCCTGAGAAAAATGCACAGTAAATATCATGGGACCCACAAGTATGGAAAAATTGATTCAAAGGAGAAGTATACAGTCAAACTTGTAAATAAAGGTTACCTTCGGGCCCAGAGAAAACTGACCTTATGCATGAGAGGTAATATTTGAATTGAGATTAAAAATTCAAAAGTCTTACTTCAGCAGGACAAGAGTAGACCTGACAAGACAAATGTCCACTTAATAGCAATGATCTTTGTTATGTCTTATCGTTTGTGGTTTGAATTCTGCATTTTCGGTACATTTCACATATGTCTTATTTGTCAGTATAGTCGAGTTAATTTCCATTTTCCATGGATAAGTATTGTGTTAGTCCAAATAATTATGACGTCGTCACAACATTAATTTAAAATAGCTTTTCAAAACCGTCATAATCTTGATAATTATTTGGACTAGTATTGTGAAAATAATTGTGAATTTTTGGATTTCGTTCCATATAATTGTATGAATTTGCAAGATTATATATACGTCACAAAAATACGTTACTTTTTGTGGTGTTGACCCATTCATGTGACGCGCAGTTTGTGGTGTCCTGTGCTGTCGTTAATGGGAGATGTCCGTTGTTATTCTGCGATTTACATGTTGTAATGTACTATCATATTATCTATTTATGCATTTTTTTGTACTGAGTGTTCTTGCGTTTGTTTGTACTGTATTCCTGTCACATAGTGTTGTCATTTTAGCAATATTTTTTAACATTGCCATATAAGCAGGAGGTTTAGCTAACCATAAAACCAGGTTCAACCCACCATTTTTTCTTAAAATGTCATGTACAAAGTCAGGAATATGGCAGTTGTTATCAAATATATGTATGTTGGCGTTTGTTTTTGTTGCAGTTCAGTGTTCTTGTTGTTCAGTTGTTTTCCTCTAATAGTTCATTCGGTTTTAGTTTGTAACCCGGATTTGTTTTCTCTTAATCGATTTATGACTTTTGAACAGCGATATACTACTGTTGCCTTTATTTGTAGCAGGTTTGACTTTGTCAATGAGAATAGATAGCAATTCAATCGCACAAATAACCAAAATACATGCGTTAACATTAATTTGGACAAATTTGAAATGTTCATGCATAGATGAAGAAAAATACCCATTCTAAACCCTTTACAGAAATTAACTAGCTAAATACGGTTTCTGAAGATATCTTTTTTTTCTACAATTCTGTCCCAATATCTTGAATAAGCTACAACTTGCATGAGGGAGAAACGTTTTTGAATAAATCATAAGATGAACATGAGGGTCAGCACCAAAAATTAGGGTCCAGATACCCTCTACACATTTTTTTGGACTTTCAACTTACAGCAAGATCACGATAGCCCCATATTTGACTTCAACAGAACTCTTTCATATTGTTAACGATAACTGCTAAACATGACCTAAAGGAAACATAATCAGATTTAATCAACTATGTAAATTCAAATATAAAATAATGCAACCACCAAATCATTGCTATTAAGGCTGCATTAAAATGATGATTGATTTAAAGACTGCAGATTAATAGGCAGGATAAAACATTTAGAGTTTTTGCTTCATGTTGAATGACTCATTGTGACTTTAAGATGAAGAACAGCAATAAAGTGTTGTTCGTTTGATTTTGGAATTTGTGCGTGTGCGTAGTGATTTTGTGTCATGAATCAATACATCAAATTTCAGTTATATTATCATTGATTATAGAAAAACAAAGGATAGAGGGTATCCATCCATTACACAAAATCAATATATGCACAGCAAAAAAACACCCACAAAGCAAAGGAACATTATGCTTCTAAATTGCTAGAGTTTTAATTCATAATGTATACAAACCTGATGTTTACAAGTAGCACCATCATCAAAGTGTGCTCCTTTCATTGCTTCACTTCCATTCTGACATTTTTTTAGGTTAGTCTTCATTTTCCTTTGTATTTCATCAATTGTGTATATGCAAACTGCAGAATCAGTTTTTCCGTTATGCTGATTTTCAAACAGAGCAACAAGAATTTCACTGTTTATCCGAAGTTTAGTCCGTAAACTACGACCAGGTATGATAGTTTTTCCAGCACGCACTATATTGTAATTTGTATGTTTTCCATAACAAGTAAGTGGTATATCAATATATGAATAAAAGTGCGTATCCATATTGCAGGTGAGAGATATCCTAGACTGTGAGGGTTTAGGGCTGGCATTGGTTTCACAGTTTTGAATTAAATCAGATGGCTGATACGATAAAAAATATGTATATTCCTTAATTGAAAAAGCTGATACAAAATCAATTATATATTTATTGATTTTGTCATAAATTATTTTTAGAGCAGAAGGAGGCTGTTGTTCAATAAATGAGGCTTCCTTATACAATGAAAAGATATTATTATCACTAGTAAGTTTCCTCATACTTAGAGCAGGTACATCTTTACGTCTAAGAAAAAACACATTCCTATTATCTTCATCCTTACAATGTAGACTGATTGGGTATGATGCTCCAATGAATAAAATATTTTCAGTGAGATTTCGCTTTACAATCAAACCAACAGTAGAATCACTTTTTGAATTTGCTACAAGGCTTGTATGTATTCTCATAGACAGTTTTTTGCTTATATCTTTCAAGTCCCTAAATTCACAAAAACCTTGAAATATACTGCCACATACAGCAAGACGATCATTTCCAATTATGTTGGTTTCAATGAGTAAAATTTTGTTGTAATTATTGGTCAATTGTTTTGTTGTCCCATCACATGCAGATCCAAGACACAAGTGATTATCTGGTTCAGGGCCTGTAACGAGTTGTTGTTGAACTTCCAACGATTGACTCAACTTGAAAATACGATTGACAGCACCTACATAAAACGTATTCGTAGAACTATCATGAACAAAGTGGGTGATGGATCCATTCAAACCATTTTCATCCTTTAGAATTCGTGTTTCAACTTTATAAGATGACATTGCACAAACCACATGGAAAACACTTACAAAGAATAAAAGCATTTTTTCCATTATAACTACAGATATATTTGCTTCTTGTACCCCACTTTCGATTTCTGACATCCAATATCAATCATAGTTACGTGCGTTTCAGACAATAGTTGTAACAGTTCAACTGGCGATTTTCAGAATGACTTCTGTCACAAGTACACAAAACCTTCATGATTCTTTATCTGAAAAATAAATTAGAATCATCAGTTTTCAATTTTTACTTTAGGCTCAGGTTTGGTTACTCCTTCAAATTGATAGAGTCATTAGAGTCTCTAAACATCCTTGACTTCTTCCCACCTCCCATTTTCCTCAGTCTCCAACTTCATTCTTTCTTTTATTCAATTATTTTTTTTTTATCTCTGAATCATTTTTTCTTTCTCCTGCTTCTCTCCATTTTCCCATCCTCCCTCCCACTTAAATTTTTGCCCCTCCTTAAAGATATTTTTTGCGCTATAAAAATATAGAAGCAAAATATTAAAACAATTTGCATAACTACTTGCTTCAAAAAAGTAAATAGAAGTAATTGATCCTTTTTACTTTTTCAATAAGTTGTTGACACTTCATTCCTGTGTCTGTTATAGAAATTGTACCAATTTTCCAGTTGTGACTGCAATATTCTCTTCATATTCCATGTATAACGATAAGTAAATATCAAAAACTTTATATCTACAAGCTGTCCGGATAATTTACCATATTCTTTTTTACAGCTGCTAAAAATTTGGCTGCTTCTTTATATTATTCTTCAACACTTGTTATATAAAATATGCACATGAGTAAATAAAATCATGTCAAAATCTTTTTGTCTGCAATGTTCAGGTAACTTGAAACATTGATGTGCAAGTCATGTTTTACCTAAAAACAATTTATATTTATCCATGCAAAATGCATTTAACTGGTAACAAAGTGTAATTTCTCTCTTATTCATATAGTTCTAATAGCAGGTGAGCAAACAAAAGATTTAAAGAGTTAATTCCCCTTAACAGAATAACATACATTTATATATTTCAGTCAGGTAATACACACAGAGGGATGTATCCTATTCAAACAATCGTGCGGAAATTAATATTTCCCTTTCTTTTTATCAAAATAGACAGCAATTTTCAAATGGGAACAAAAAAGAGGCTAAAGATACAAAAGGGACATTCAAACTCATAAGTTAAAAACAAGCTGACAACGCCATGCCTAAAAAATAAAAATACCAACAGACAAACAGACAAACAACAGAACATAAAACACAACATAGAAAACCAAAACTGGTGGTGATCTCAGTTTCTCACAAAGGGTAAGCAGGTCCTGCTTCACATGTGGCAACCATCGTGTTGCTCATCTTAGTACAAACCCGGTAAAAAGTCTAATTAAATAGGTCACATTTGGGGGAAAAAAGGGACGGGATTGTAGTTACGACAATAGGAACATATCTGCTGTCATCTGTGAAACGGATATTCAATAACGGTCAATCAACCCGTGATGACGTAGGTAAATGTAAGAAAGGATGACTTCAACTTCACCACTTGGAATTCTTGGGTTAATAGCTTCCTTGTGAGCAGCAACCCTCTATCAAGGAAATCATGATAGGAAATACAAGCCCTGGAATATCGTATCACCTGAGAGTTATATACTCCGTATGCAGAAGCTGCTTGAATATTGCTACATAGAAATAGAAAGTTTGAAATTATAGAATCATTACGTGGTGATAACCTAAGCAGATGTGTTCTAACACTTATCAACTGATAAATATCATGTGACAGCTGTACAAATATAAAATTTCATTCCTTCCTTCTTTATTTTTTTTGTCCACAAAAGTTTAACATACTTAAATTCGTTTTAATCTTGCTTTAGTTTCTATAGATTTGTTGGCGGACTATTGTTTATTTATGTCCGTCCATCAACTTTTTTTAATTGTCCACATGTCACCTTTTAATCTTTTTTAAATTGTTCTTCTTTCATTCCCTTTTTATCTTATTTTTTTATCTCTCCATCAGTTACATTGTACATAGTGTCAACCCCTTTTTTATTTATTTTTTTAATTCCTCAATTATTTTCACATTTTGTGTATGTTCAGTTTCTCATTGTCCTTTGCTTCCTCTATCACAAAAAAAACTTTAAAAAAAGATCCAATCTAAAAAATCTGTGAATGAAACCATGATTTACACATAACAAAATTCTCACTTCATAAATGTTAATCTTTTACCTGAACTTTTATCCCAATTACCTGAGATAAATATCTCTTTTTCCCTTTTCAAGCTGTCACCTCCATAAAAAGCATCTCACCTCACAAAAAATAAAATCTCTTTTCTGGCATGTGTCAAGTTATTTAAATTTCACAGCTAGTAAAAATCTAATCATGAAAATAATTAAGTAAACATATTGAGATTTTAATGGTCGATTGAATTTGAGAAGGATTTTACACAGGTTTTTATCAGTTACCATCAAGGATGCCAACTGAATAATGGTGCTTCTACCCTCAGCTGTTTATACCTCCATACAAAAGAGTATTTCACAAGTCAATAAAACACTGTGTTAATGAAAGACCGTAATCAATAACATGTAATCCTATCATTCACCCTTATTGGAAAAGGTCTTTCAGCTAAAACTTTGCATATACTTTTTTTCCTTTGCAAATTCATTATGTATTTGAAGGGAAACTTATTGTATAATATTGCTTACCTAACATGCTGTACAATTATTATAAGGAAGTGTTTGTTAATATGTTGTCCATGTCATCTCATTAGAACAGGATTTCCTTTATCCTCTAACTTGTTACTTATAGTATGATTAATTTTATATTCTGGACATTTAGTATACTGCCGGGAAGTAAAACATTACATACAGAAAAAGAAAGATTTATTTTGGCATTCTGTAAAACATGGTATGGAACGGTGATATGGTATGTGTTATCGTCTGGTGTACAATACCACCATACCATGGTATGCATGAATGGTACCAAGGTATGGTATGATGGTATGGTACAAATTACTATACAATGGTATGATGGTATGGTACAAATTACTATACAATGGTATGATGGTATGGTACAAATTACTATACAATGGTATGATTTGATGGTATGAAGCATGGTATGGTTTTGTGAAGTAGGAAACTTTGAAAAGTTAATAAAACTATTCTGAAACAGGATTTATTTATTATATATTTTCTTTTCTTTTTGACCTATTCCAAAACAAACTTTTTTTCCAATAAGAAACAGGAACATGAGTATTTGTTGAAACACAATGTCAAAAAATATTTATTGTTTCAATTCCCTTTTGAATGTTTTTATCAGACATTTAAAATCAAAACAATTAATTAAGAAAAGAATGGCCAACACACATTCAAAAGATAAGTCAGTTCCTTAGTTAGGATATTGACATACGTTAAGTTAGTTAAGAACTTCATAGAATAGTTAGCAAAAATCAAAATTTATAAAATCTTGATTTATTCTTGTCCTTTCCTTGCCACATAGTAAAACTATCATGCTAAAGAAAAACAGGCAAGTGTGGTTGGTGATTAGTTGTAGTAAGAATATGATATGACTGAAACTTCTGTTTAATTAAAAGACTTTATTATTGCTATTTTTTTATTATCAGCAAATAGTGTCACTTCTGCAAAAGCAATTAATTACATAATCTTTAAGTTAGAATTAAGTTTTGAAAAATATTTTGAGATCTTTGCTCTGCGCTTATTATTACTTTATGTAAATTTAGAACCACAAACCACATAATTCCAATAGAAAAAAGTTCAAAAAGTGTGTAAACAAACATGAAGGTCCTCCTGGCTAAAATGTATATTGTTTTGAAACCACTGTATTGTATATAAATGTTTGTAAATCTATGTATATTCCTGTATATATTTTTCACCCTCTCTGTACTTATGTATCTGCAATGGTTACGAGAATAAAGATATTATTATTATTGTAATAAATGTATATGCTGAATGTTTTAGTCTACTTACTCATTGAAATCATGTTTTGGTTTTGTATGTTTTATCTTGTAGCGATAATTAAATTGTAATTATTCTGTTCTCATCAGGGAACTTTGATTAATCAATAAAATTATTGTATACTTTATTGTCAAGTGTTTCGATGTTTGTCATTAACCTGTTATGAAAATAGCCATCAGCCAGACAATAATTTAAAAAAATTAGTTTTTTCATAATTGATATTTTACTTGAGAGTGCTTCTAAACAAATTCCGAGAAAGAATTACAACACACCAATTTTCACTATGTACATAACAAACCAAAGATCACGATGTACAAGTAGACAGAGTCCGTTTTTAGCGACTATGAGCTCCTGGACTTCTTACATTTGAACAATAATAGTTACCAGAAAGGCGCACGGTTATAAAATACCTGTCATTGTGATAAAAAAAGTGTATGTCTTTGAAATGTCAATATTTTTTCATTAGAGAAATTAAATATATTCGTACCCTTGTATGTGATGAGGACTTCAAATGAAAGTCATTATTGAACGAAATCATGTAGAATATGTGCAACTGTTAAAGATAGATCATATATATACCAGAGGTTATTTAAGACATCCTTAATGGTGACTTTCCTTTTAGGAAAACATTTAGATCTTTTTTTTCTTGTTTGGTTCTTTTAAATATTCTTCGGTTACACTATATCTTTCGCCTATATATTTCAGGGAATTGAAGTTATTTGGGTGTAATATACATAATACAGTTGTTGTAGGGAATTATACGATAGAGTAGCATTTGCCATTGTTTACTAGTAGCATTGATTACCGAATATAGTCGGACAACTTAGCATAATGGTGTAGTATTGTAGTGTAAAGATTGGAGTACATTGATCTCTTTAAAAGTGAGGATTTTATATATAAACCATTAGTAAAAATAAACAAAATCCGGTGAATCCTGTGGACAACTTTACCGAGAAAAGGGGCACTTGATCGTCAGTACAATATATTATAAATGAATAAGATAATCCGGATACATATTTCTCTTGGGTAATAGTTTCCCTTTACTATTTATGTCATTACTTGAACGGGACAGATAATAAACTTATGAAGATAGATGGGTAATTTAAACCAAATTTTAAGGATTTTTAGATTATTAATGAATGTGTATCTTCTACTAAATGTAAAAACAAAGGTTACCAAAGAATTGAAAATTACAATATTCCGTGTTATTTGTTGTTCAAAGTTTATCATTGCCCTTACATAGTTATGTAAACTTTTTTGTATGCATTTGTTTTTCCTTTTCTGTGCTGCTATTTCATACATCCATTTGTTTCTAGTGTTATCCTGCTTACATCATTTGAATTTTCTTGGTTTTATAATGTCTTACTTTTTAAATTTTGTTGATACTTTTCCGTAAAAAAGTAATCATACACAAAAGTGGAAAAACAATATGCAAGTCGAATGTTTCTGGTATTATATCTAAATCACTTCATTTTGTTATATAAATCTATAGATTGCATACCCAACTGAAATCGATGAAGTGATGTTGATTGGCATGGAGGATCATTGGACACATTTTAAACGAGGTACATTATGATTTATTTGACCAAGTTTAGATCAATTTAGCCTAGTGATTTCAGAGGAGAAATTCTTGGTAAAAATGAATGCTAAAAAATGACGGTTGGCAATGGACAATAACAACAGACGGCGGATGCCTAATGATGAGAAAGCTCACTTTTAATTCTACCACTTAAATTTAAAACATTCTTCGGTTGAAACTAGAACTGTCTGCATATTAATGACATTGATAATAAACATTACTACTGAAAATGAAATCTTTCTGTCAAACAATGATTGAAGTAACTTTTGATATAAAGAATTAATTAACGACGATGAATGGTAAGTGATGGCAAAAAGTCCTACTGACCCTTTGGGCCAGTTATACTAAAAACAGAATTTGAGTACATACGTCAGTTACGTTCCAACTATTCCAAAATTTTAATGTAGGATTAGCACGGTTACTTTTATAAACATTGGATAAGGTCAGATTATGTTGTAAAGACAAAGCTCAAATGAACTTCAGGTAAATGTCAATAAATAATATGATTGCTACGGTTTAACATAGTAAAAGCGTTAGGAAAAACAGTATAATATTAGAGTAAATGTTAATTTCCATTTAGAAATTGGAATCTGATACTACAGCAAGACTGCATCAATCAAATAATGAAATTGACAATTGTAGCACAGCAGAGATAAATGTGACTGCATCCTGTTACATTAATTATCTTAAATACAAAACTTGCAGATACAAATCTTGGTGATAAAGTGTGCAAAAATTACACAAATATTCATTTTAAAAATTAATAAATTCTTATATAAAAGATATCAAACAATACTCACAATAAAATGCCTTTAAATACCACAAAATAATTAATAAATTTTAATCGGATTTCATAATATAGGGATACAACTTACCTTTTCTCAGTCTTCTCTCCTCTTTCTTTCTCTTTTCCAAATCGTTGTCTCCATCGATGCAGATCTCTATACAGTTCTATGTGTTCATAGTTCATAGTATGTCTTTTTTACAAATTTGCTCAATTAGTTTAAGGAAATAAAGGGTTTTTTTTTTTTCTTGTATTTTTTTTTCCATAGTTTTCATTCGGTACTACCGGTTATTGTTGTTTGTTATATCGAACACCCTCCTTATGTTTATAATGGTTTTGTCTTCAAAACAAGACCCCTAGAATGATGTTCTTGACATTTTCAGACTCTTGGAATAATAAAAATAAAGAAAAGAACTGCATATAATAACAATATCGTGCTAAATTCTTAATTTCAACAAGCATTAACAATTTGGTGTATATAAAAAAAAGTCTGTAACACACAAAGCAGCTATGAAATCAAACACGTACATTGTTTTTGATTATTATTCATGGTTCCTAATTGCACCTTGACGGACTCTGAATGTTCAATATTCTTACTAGTTTCTGTTATCCTTGTATGCATTAGTTTTGCGAGCTCTTTTGTCACCTTTTGTCGACCAGTGGAAATACAAATGATATTAAGAAAAGTACTAAAAGTAAATCCAAACGTAAACTAGTAATATCGATATTTCAAATGACAAAATTACTGCTTCATGAAAAAAGTAAGTTTCATTAGATATGCTCGATAGTTTACTACAAAATGTGAGATACCTGGGTTAAAATTGTATACGCAAAACGTGCTTAAAAAGTGTCAGAATATCAGTTTGTAAAAGCAATTATAGCATACACTTTATCTTTTATGAATGATATTATACCAGCTCGCTCGTCTAAAATAAGCTGCTGTACTTCTAAATATATTTCGTAATTAATTTCTTGCAAAAGGCCCGAGAACACAGTTATTTCGTAGTGCTTTTCTTTTAGACAATAAATTCAAATTAAAAAAAATCGCACCTGCTCTATTTCAAAAAGATTTTTACAGTGTAGTGTACTACTATTGATACAAATAATATCAAAATTATAGAAACTTCTACCAGCTCTAACTCAAAATATTGACAGTTCTGTGTTAAGGGGGGCTAAAATTCAGTTTGACAACTTCAGACATTCTAATTTTTGACCTTTTTTAACTGGACCAAATCACTACTTAACATAAAGATTCAGCACCCAAATTTTTTTAACATGTAATTTCATCCCCTTACTTAATATTTCATGCATAAAATATCAAGAAATAAATTGGGAAAGTGTATCAAAAAAAAATGCAATTTATACACTGTTCACACTAGGGACTATATTTGTAGACAACGAAAACCAAAGGACGATAACTGTGTCCTTGGACCAAAAGTGTGTAGAATTAACATATTGTACTTTCCAGCATGCACCACAGATTTTGTATGTGATGTGGGCAGCACATTGGTAAG